TCTTGCGCGGAAGAGGTGAGGCAGGGGGTTTGTATTTTCACTGAATGGCATGAACGTCCCAAACTGGATTAACGTGTTGGTTTATATCGTGACTGTGCAGTCACGTCACTGCATTGTGATCCTTAACAATCAAGTCTTTTGTCTGCAGAAAGGCGATGGACGAGTGGAAATCTTAGATAAAGAGGTCTGTGCATTGTACACGGAGACACCCACAGAAAAAAGTGTCACTTCTGTGCTAAATGTGGATTATAGTTTCATGTGCCCACAAAAATTGGCAGTTATGTCCACTCACGAGGGATGTGAATCTTTTGGCATGGATCTGATTAAATTAGCTTGTGATTGCTTGGGCAGGCTGCCAGTGCTAGCAGACGCAAATATAAAATACAAATTCTTCAGGTTTGATGGACATGTCAGCATGTTGCAGCTGTGGGCTGGTCTCCAGGCAGACAAGTACCAGGATAGATCCCGCTGACACTGAACCGAGTGTCTGAATACACAAAGCCTACAACTGTCCTAGCAGCTTGGTTCAGGAACTACAGGGTATCCCAAAAGCTCCAGCCTTTTCTGCTCTGCCTGCGTCACCGTCAGCCCTGCTGGGATTCCCCCGTGGCTCCAGCGCAGGCAGTGAAGTAACTTGTTTTTTTCCTGCATTTTTTGGCAGGATAACAGAGTTAAAGCCCCACGTGCTGCACAGGCCCTTCAGAAATGTAGCTTTTGGCACAGGAACAGCTGAAAGCCAGCCAAGCCATGCTGCTTCCCACTTCTTTAATGGCAGGAGAACTTGTGGTGCACAGAGAGTACTCACATTCACTATGATATAATTCATGTGGATATTTACAGGTGGGTTATTACTGAAAGGTTCAAGTGATACAATGCAGGTTTTAAGCCCAAGCACACACCCTTATACCTTGCAGGGTGATTTGAATGCAGTGACAAAATAAAGGGCAGCCTTTACTACCATGTAAAGGATTGTGGTTTGATACTAACAAAATAAACAGACATCAAACCTGTCTGTGCATGTTTGTCATTAATTCGCAGACACTAACAAGTTAAGTGGCCGGCGACTGCTGATCACTGAGCCATGACGCTCTAAGACAAACTGAGAAGGCTCTTTGCATATTACACTTGCTGCTTCCAAATGTTCTTCAAATACCCTCGGGATGAGATGTGTGTGGATTTCTGCTTGTAAACTGCTTGAATGACAACTTGGCCCGCTTTGCACCATGACATGTTCATTGAACAAACTGAAACACACTGAGGCGTGAATCTACCAAACTCACCAGCAAACAGAACTCTCAATGCAGATCACACAGAATACTTGATTAGAGAAGAGGCCAGAGGGACCAGTTCACATGTCAAGGGAAGGAAGGCACAGTAAATACACTCCCGGGAAGCAAGAGCACATGATATCAAAGCTATGAGAAGACAGACGTGGCCATCAAGCAGCAGTACATGTGTCAGCTATGGCAAGACTGATTTTAAGATGATATTTCATTAAAAGTGCACCTCTGATATGATGCTAGTTTCTCACTGACTGGAAACACCTTCTTGAAAGCAAAAAATGAGAATCAAATTAGGGCTGCAACTAACAATTATTTTCATTAGGGACTTATCTGGTTATTTTTCCAAATCCATCAGATCCATTAATTTAGCTTCTAAACTGTCGAAAATAGTGCAAAATGTTGATAGATTTTAAAGGTAATTACTTCCTTATTCCGTCAATAGATTCAATTAACAGTGATGTAAAACTGGGGAAAGCAGCGAAACCTCACAATGGAGAGAAGCTGAAACCAGCAAGTGTTGGGTGTTTTTTCTTGATAAATTATTGATGATAATGAATTATTAAAATAGTTTGCATTAAAATTGTTTGGGATTTGTTTTCTGAATAACATTTCTATACATTTAATTCTTCTGAATAAATGAATTGATTTTATTAGAGCACTTCAACGTTCAGTTAAGCTTTCTTTCTAGTAATGTGTCAGCTGTTACAGAGGCATTTCCTTCGTGACAACAGCATTTTCCTTGAGGTAATAATTGCAATTTTTGATATCTTTAGACACTGACATAGTCACAACAGTCTAAAAAAATCAACATTGACAACTTAAAATGTTTGCAAGCACTCTTAGTGCATGTAATAATAAGACCAAGTGGTAGGTAGATGTTAATTTCCATCAGCTAGAGAGACTACTAACTTCCATTACATTACTGATGCAGCTTTTAAGCCTGGAAAGATACAATAATCAAACTATACTGTGATAATTTAATAACCAAAATCAAACAATATGTGAAATCACAATATTAATGTTATAGTGATATATCGTCAGGTCAAGGTCTGCCAAGTTTCTACAAACACAGGTGTTAGTTCTTCAAATCAAGAACAACAACAAGTGTCTTTATGCAAACTCAGTTTCATAACAAGCAGTGTTGCTTATTAAGTCTGGTCTATAATATGCAAAAGGCCATACGTTTCTAATCCACAATGTAAACACCCTACCCGCTCCCTGCAGCAGTATTTTTCTCCATTTGAAAACACTGAGGTGGTGCAGTTGGCTGGTGCTGGCCACAAGATACCATATGCCAGATTGGACCAAACAGATTAGTGGGGCAATTTCTGGGCAAGTCTCTAAGGTGACTGGAGGATGGTGGGGTGCAGGGTGCAATAAGGGCCTGGAAATCTCTCTTACGAATTTCAGTGCTTAATAATCACACTGGGAAGCTGCAAGTGCCAAATTACACAAATTAACGTCTCGTTTTTGTTTGTCAACCACAATTTTAAGAAGTTACAGGCCCTTTGACATGGAAGACAGGACCCTGCCAAAGTGGCTGGTAACATGAGTAACCAGCTTAGGAAAACCTGACCAGTATTTGACCAATCCTCTTTTTAAGTTCTTTCACCATAAAAAGTAAACTTCCAAAAGAAAATGACTCTCCCGGCCTCCCTCTTGATCCTGTTCCTGTCTTTCAGATTTCTGGTGAAGGTTTTCAGGTTTCAAAATATCATTTCCTCATTAAATTCGTGATGTCTCACTAAAACCAAAAATATGTCAAAGTACTTATGTTAAAATAAACTTTCACAATGTCGTGGACATTTCATAACAGTGTTCCTGTCATCTCAGTTGCACAGTAGAATGAAACATTTCGGGAAATATTTTGTATTGTTGCAACAAGTCTGCTGAGGTTGCATCTTTAAATCTGATCAATTTTAACACAAATTTTAGTATACTTCATTCAAGTTTACATGTTTACATGGTGGATAAGCTTCTGAAAGCACATTAAGATCAGATCAGGGCAATGACAATCTCCACTGAAACCAGACTTTGTTTTCAGAATATATCTTTAAGGGCATTAAATATCTAAAAAAAGACAAAGTGCTATAAAAGGCTTTAACCAAACCAGCTTCCAGTGCCTGTACTCACCCGTCCTCATTACTTGGTGAGAAACTCTAACACCAACCACAAACAAAGTCAGTTTTGGTTGTGGCTGTGAGGTTTTTCAGCTTGGCACAACCAGCCCGACTCTCACAGTAAGACTCTGGAGCTCTTTTTGAATCCACTTGGAATGAAAAGTTTCCTGCCCTCTTTTCATGTCCGCTGACGACATATGGAGGAATACACTGCCTATAATGGAGTGGATTTTCTCACAATCCTGCTGTAGTAGCCTAGTGAAGGCAGCTCATTGTGATCACGTCCATGACATGTTGGACTTGATCTCAGCCACTAACTTTTATCTACCTCCACCACTTATGTTTTGCACTTCCACAGAAATACCACCAACTTAAAGGGAGTTCACGTGTGAGAAACTGACACAGCCCAAAGACTTTTGCAAAGTCATATCAGTTGGATGTTAAAAAGAGATAGATCTGCGCCTGTTGTTGATCCTTGAGAGTTATTTTTATGACTTTAAATACATGTAGAGTATTGATGCTTGTTTACCTATTGAACTATTGCATAATGACTTGTCTGGACAACTCCAGTCCAGCCAAACCATTATTACATCAATATTAGATTATCATTACCACTTTACATTGTTCATGTGAGTAGCAAAAATTCATTCATAAAGCCATCTTTTGCTCTAAATCATCTCACTGTCTCTGCTTTGACCCATAACATGACATTTTGTCAGACCAAACTTTCTGTTAAGCCCAGTTGTTGATGCTGTCACATGTAAGTTACTGACTTTATATCCAACTTAAGCCACTACCATGTACTGTAACGAAACTGGAAGTTTAATGTCGATGTAAAGGACGTTAACTCAAAGATGGTGGGTCAAAATTGTAACATTACAGGACGTTCTGCCACCAGGACAAAAATCGTTAGAAAAGCACTTTAATTAGCAATTTAGCACACAAATCTTTCAAAGCAAACACACGAGCAGTTGGTTTATCCGATACTGGCCTCTAGCTAAAGTAACATCACGGGATAATAGGCTACTGTAAATAATCAGCTTGTAATATTGACTGAAGTAACGTTAGCTAACGATAGCCAAGTTATGGTTTTACAATTGTGACAGTATTCTCAAAGCAAGGTACCGGTCGAAACCGAACGTTAACGTTAGTCGTTAAGTTTACACTGTTGAAGTATGGAGCTAGTGGGCAGTAAATACAACCACTGCTGGCATTTAACACCTTTATTTCTATTTTTTACTCTCTATGTTCGGTTAAAACTCGGTGTTACCCACTAACAAAAATCAAACACCGGCTCCTCAGTTTGATTTCACTACAAGAAATAGTGCCATCACACGCAGAGTACGTTAAATTACGTTCGTTGGATGGAATATTGCAGGTGAGTCAATCCGCTAACGTTACCTTAGCAATAACGTTAAACTATTATTGATTAACGTTATTGATCGGTCGATTTGATAGTCACGTTTAAAAAAATAAACCCTGCGCCCTGTGAGTGACGAGTGAGGCAGCAGAAGAACGACGCCACATTTTATAAACGAAAATGATTGATAAGATAGCATAGACAGACAAATGAAAAATAAAGATAAATTAAACTTACCACATCTGCTTCCGTTCCGTTTTTACACTCTTTGGAACCGGAAGAAACATTCCTGTTTTCCCCCGTCTCTGAACGCAGTCTCCCCCCTTCGATTACACACAGAGGAAAAAACACCCAAAAGAGGAAGAGGAGAGGTGGGTCGTATGTTTATCAGCTAAAATTAAAGAGCTTTCATGTGATTGCATGATATCCACGCATTCGGTTTTCGCGTGTAATTGTATTTTAAGAGTTTTGAGTGTCGATTTCAGAGCCAGCAACGATCAGCCAGAAAGAGAGAGAGAGAGAGAGACTCTCCGGTCTGCACAGTCAGATCATTGGTTGACAAACAGTAATCAGATGCAAATTCCTAACCTCTGAATCAGCAGGGGCCAGCCCCCCAACCCCCAGAGCAGGGCATGTCGGTAAATGCAAGGGTGTGAATTATAAAGTGGGCTGGGACTAGGGTAAAAAGTTGCAGAGTGAGACAGTGCTGTCTAAAGATGATGCACAAACTCAAACAGACTTTACATTTTTATCTCCCTAAAGTACTTCACAGATTAACCCTTAACTTGACTTTAAACAGCAAATTTTTTGTAGATTGCCTCTGAAACTGTATAAAATATAGTTCCCAACCCAACAAGTGTGTCACAATATGAATCTGGGTGATCACAAGATAAGAAAGAAATGTACTTGTTCCTTGAATTATTAGAGCTGATATATATTATTTTAAAAAATCAAATATGTTAAGTAATTTTTTCAAGCAAAAATGCCAAACTTTCTGTAGTTCCAGCTTTGCTGCAAAGCAAGCAATTTGATTAGAATTGTTCACTATTTTCTGACATATTACAGACCAAGGGATTAATAAATTAATCAAGAAAAGTATCTGCAAATTGATTGATGAAATTAGTAATTAGTTGCATCCTCACAAATTATCTTTATTTGTTTTCTCTACTATGTTTTGTTGTGTTTTTTCTTAAGAAATACTTTCACATTTTTGGCCATGTAAAAATCATGCAAAATAAAATAAGCTTAGAAGAAGTCTGCAATTTAAAAAAAACCCAAAACATTTGTACAACGTGAATTACAGTATTTGCATGTGACTTGGTCCATAGGTATATTGTGTGTTGTGTTCACATTTACTTTCGGTGTTGATTTTTGGTGACAGTCCCTTGGTGGAGAGCCCCTGTTCAGCAGAAATGCTGGATGGCAGAATTAAGAATGCTTTTTTATTGTAACAGTACAAAAACCTTAAAAGTGATTTTACTGACTTATAGTCTTTATACTTTACTTGTACTAATTGTATTTTCAATTAAATAATAGATACTGTGTCATTTTAATTTTTATAAAGCTTCACAACATTCATTTTGAAAATATGATGACTCACTTTAACTAAGAGTTTACTTTCAGAACACTTGTGAAGCTGTGCAAACTGAATGAAAGACTTATTAAAGCAATTATTAATACTAAACCCGGGATAGTAAACTGCTGATGGAAACTGCTTTGATCGAAGTTTAAGATTTGACCTTAAATAACACGGAATGTCAAAAAAACTCAATACCACATTCTGTTTCTGTTTTATCAAATTATCAATACATTATATTTAGGAATATTACAGGTTCAAAATCTGTAATTCAACACAATTCAAAACTACATTTTTATGAGCCCTTTTCAAGTTTAATCAAGGTAAACCTGTATTTATGTGCCACACGTTGAAACACAAGGACTAATTATACATTTTAGAGAGGAAGAATTATAAACCACAATGTGAACAAATGACCATTCACATAAACCAAACCATGTGGTAAAAACTGAACATTTTCAATAAGACAACTGTGACTGAAAATAAGCCATCCAGCCACAATAAAATAAACTGCAGTCTTTTTCTGTCCTCATCACACAAAGTCACTGGCCATGTCCTGTATTTCTAAATGTGAATTTACACTTGAATAAAAAGGTCTGTGAGTGGTGACTGGTTGCAGCTGTTTGCTAAAATAAAGAGCTTGAGATATCTGAAACAGATAAATGATCCTCCATCTGCCTCATCAGATGTAACGGGATCCAGGAGAGAAGTGAATTCATGGCGCTGACGCTGTGAGAAATAAAATTAAAATCAAACGGTACACCAGACTGAACAGCGTGAACTGTACTTTCACACTTGATATCAAAATAATCAAACGCTGACTGATGTGTTTCAGCTTAAGCTAGTCTTTGCCAGGGTGTGTTCAACACAGGAAATAATAATAACATTAAATTTATATTTATAGCACCTTTCAAACAGTGCTTTTACATACACGGTATATAGTTAAAACACTAATAGACAACAGGGTTACACAGTGTATTTATATAGCAACAGAGGAATCAAAAACTGGTGGAATAGAATTTAAAAATAAAACAAAATAAATAGAATGTTAAGAAGGCTTAGGTTTTGAGATAGGATTTCAAAGAAGACGCTAATTGAGGGGACCTTATCTTATATAAAAGCCTGGTCACCTTTAGTGACAAGACAGGATTTAACAACTGACAGAGCTTTTAAAGTCAGCAATAAAATCTTAAAATAAATTCTGAAACCTACAGGCAAGAAGAAAGAGAAGAAAGAGGCAAGGATGGGAGTAATGTGATCTTGTCTTGATTATAAAGCCTAGCAGCTGCATTCTGAACATGTTGGAGGTAAGAGATGGCTTTCTGACCAGGACAAAGGGCATTCTAATGATCTACGTGTGATGAAATAAAAACATGAATAATCTTTTCAATGCCCTATTGAGATAGATATGACTTAATTTAATTTTTGATATAGTCTGTAGCTAGAGAAAGCAGTGTTGAACAACTTTTGTAATTTGGCTTCTAAAGGATAAATTTGAATCAATAATCATGCCCAACTTAAGGGGAGAGTGCTTGAAGTTAGGCCACCAATATTTGGCTAACAGGGATGATACTGGAGGGGGCAATCAAGAGGATTTTAAACTTGGAATCATTTGGTTTAAGGAAGTTATGTGACACTCAGCACTTGACCCACTTAAGTTATCTAAATCATTGTGTCTAAAGGGAACATAAAGCTGAGTGTGGTCTGCATAGCAGTGAAAATTAATGTTATGGTTGCGGAAAATATGACCCAAGGGAAGCATGTAAATAAGAACGTATACTGTAAGAACAGTAAGGGGCCCAGAATTTACCCTTGAGGGACGCCACAGGATAGAGGGGCAACGGAAGAAACAGTTTTACCAACTAATATTGAGAAGCTTCTATCAGTGAGGTAGGAACCATTCTAACGCTAAGTTCATAATGCCAGCCCATTCCTCTAAACGGCTGATTGAAACTGTGTGGTCAACTACAAAAAGCCAAGCTATGATCAGGTAGGATTAAAATAGATCAAGACAAGAGCAAGGAAGAAAAAGAGTTCTCTATTCTCTAACTAGAGTCCAAGTTGATATATCCATAGCCGGTAGCCATTAAGAAATTAGGAAACCATGTGTGTAAGTTGAATAAAATGTTTGGAGCCCTTTCCCAGTGTTGGAATGGGCCACGGACAGAATAAACTTCTTTCCAAAGCTGTAGCTAAAGACTCCAGCTCATAGTGGAGATTAGCAGATTGTCCTAACATGACATAATTTATTCATTTACCCCCATGTGCACAATCACTGGGTGTACAGAGGAATGCAGATCAATAATTGTGGGAACCTGTGCAATAATATTGTGGACCTTAAAATCAGAAAAACTGTATGTAATACAGCCAGGAGGTTCAACACACTTTTTAAACTATTGACTCCCCTGTAAGCGAGATATCTTTTAATTCTTTTGAACGTCTTTCAGAAAGGAAGTGAGTCATAATATCTGGCACATTTTAAAGAGCGTAATTCTCACCACTAGATAAAACAACTGACGGTGTGTGACTTCTTACATGTCTTTTATGTTGTGATTCAAGTTGCAAATGGATAATTATTGTTAATCGTGCTAAATAATGTGCCATATATCTTCTAGTCATACTCTTCAAAGTATAGCTTAACCCTAATTAGATGCCATACCAAGTGAGGTTCAGTAGAGTTATGAGGTAGTCATCTTAATCATAATGTGTTGCTTTAAAGTAGCTGTGATATGACAAAATCATGTAGAAATACAGAAAAATGGTATTCAAATCCTTTAGATTTTTCTGGAGTAGGACCCCAGACCATCCACTTTATTGTCTTCCCCCAGCTTTTCAAACTAGTGTTACGCCCCTGACAGGAGCAGTGTGTGCCCTTCCGAAGTGTCTGGGAAAAGAGGGAGGGAGACCCTCCTGTTGGCCTTCACCACTGCTGCAGACGAAAATCTTGCTGAGCTTGATGCTGAGGATAATGAATAATAAAGTGTCCAGATGAAAAGATAATGCAGTCACTTCAGGTTAATATCAACAGCATTTGTGCTACCTGATGTTCATTTCCCAAAGTGCAGAGCAGTAAACATAGAAAGCTTTATGAATGCTAATATGAACAACGGCATATTCTCTGACTTTGATATTCTCACTGTACATCACATAAACAGAAAACTCCCCCAACATTGCATTTTGAGTATTCCTGTTCATGGAAATACTTTGTGTTTGAGTTGGTGTGACTAAGTGTTCGACATGCAAATATAATAGTTTGAGCTGTATATTAAAGGTATTCAGCCTTTCCTAATGGTCTTCTCATCTCTTCCACATGGCCTCGTGAGAAACTGATAAATGTCTTTCATTCATTTGTGTTCCTAAAATATAATAATGAATAACTAAATTTAATTAAAAATAAATACATGTAAATGCAGCCATTTGAATGTTTCAGTTTATGTTTCAATATGGATCCAAATTCCTCTAAAAGCATAATTAAAAATAAAGAAAATAAAATACTCATATACAATTAAATACCAGCACTACATACTGTACATACTGTCTGTATGTACTGTATGTACAGTATGTACATACATTTGCTATCAAAGTGCAGGTACCCAGACTTCTTTACAAATGCTTCTAATTGTCGTTCATCCAAACATTTGCATCAGAAGTCCTCATTCACACGAAATTAGCATATTGTTCCAAGTTTTAAAACTATAAGCAATGTGTGCAAAGTGCCTAAATGATCATAAATAATAACCTTGTGCTCACTAACGGCCTGTTTCTTTGTACTGGTGTGCCATCTAGTGGAAAGGAGCCACAGGAAAATCTACATGCTGTAAGTCTGATGTAATATATTAGAAAATTTACAATATGTCTATTTTAAATAGTTTGAGAGGATCAAATAATAATATTCACTCAACAAGCTTTCTAAAAATAAAGAACCCAGTTATAATGGGTTTAAAATGATAAGCAGTTGAAATGTACACAAATGAAATGTAGCACAAAAACTGTTTTCAGCCTCTCAACTTCCCTCATAAACTTCATGTAATGCACATTTTCTTTTTCAGAATAACCAGGACTATTTTAAAAAAGGAGACTGATTCGAAGAGATTATTTGCTGACGAGATTTATAATGGATTTGCCTCAAAACAACTTTTACAATATGCATTTTAACAGAATTGTGAAGGTGTCAAATAGGAGAGCTCATTAACACTAAGCAAGTGACATCTGTCAGGTTTTTAGTGAAAATGACAGAAACTATGGGCTCACAACAGCCTCTAATAAATAACACAGGCAGATTTAGTCAGTTTAGTTGGTTTACTGCAGTTGACTCGACCCACACTCTTTAAAGATCCGTTCAGTCAACACGTTTTCCACATGGATTCTGACATTGACACTGTTTCCCAGTTGGTAAAGTAAAGGCGGAGCCTAACAAATCTAATGTTTCTAAATTTGCATGCACTCCTTTGTAAGTAAATTTGAAGATTTCAGATACTGTATAGTGAAGTGCCTAACATCCATGTGAAACCCAATGCACCTTACTGAAGTCAATACTATGAGCAAAGAAAATAGTCACACAGCAGCCTCAGTAATATCAGATGTAGATGACATAGAATGAAAGTACATTAACTCAACTCAATCATGATAATCCAGTTATACGAAATAACAATTTATCACTCTGATAGTGTTTAGTCTGTATAACTAGCACATTTTGTTGCTAACACTTCTGTACTTTGGACTAGTTATACAGTATTGTTGGTGTGGGGTATTGGTACTTTTACTTACATATGATGACAGACCAGCCGCAGCTTATTTTATACAAATACATGTATATGAAGTTAAATCAAGCATGGCTTTTAGCATTTTTAAGTACAAAGCACACAATGAATTAAGAAAAGAGAAAACATATTTTCATTTTTTTTTTAATAGTTGCAGTAATAATTATAAATAGGTACTGTAACACACACATATTATATACACAAAGATGTTTGAGTCTAGTGTATAAAGCTATTCACACTATTATAGGCTTTTTCAATCCAATGTTGGCACATGTCAACGATCTGAGTTCATGAATAACAGTAAAACTACTCCTACACATCTTTAAAAAGTTGGCAGCACCCCAAGGTGCTGGGGTGAACATGATGAAAACAAGTTCATCTTGAAGAACATATACAGTACACAAAAAATGACACCATGTGATATCCCTACATGACATTCAAAGTGAGAAGTTTAAGCCTGAGAAATTGGATTTCCACAAATGCACAACTTTGGTTGTTGACAAAATGCACCACCAAGTCAAGTTTCGTTACACTGCCAATGATAGTATGAAAAGAAATTGATGTGATATATATATTTTTTAAATATAATGTTTCCAAAATCAAGTCACGTACACACATAGAAATATATGTACAGAAAAAAACTTGTATTCATAAGGCAGAAGTGCTTTTCTGGGGTTGTAAATGTTAATATTGAGATGAAACTCAGCAGGTTTTTACCATCAAAACACCTAAAATGTTAGCAATGTAACACATGTACATACATTGTATCTTTAAACCATTTTGCTAGTGTAAAAAAAGGCTTTAAACGAGCTGTGTGCTAAGTGTAAACTGAGTCAGCACTGTGTGCTGCAAGAAATCCATTAATAAATCTAAAAGTACAGGGTTACTAGCAGTTTTACAATTATCTTGTCTTTGATTATTGACCATGACTGAAGTAACATTTACACTTTGTCTACACCAGCGTGCAGTGAAGGCAACACATCAGCAGCTGAAGTGGTGTTAAGTATCTCCACTGGATTAGCTAAGTGCTGCCATACAATCATGCACTTTAGGTTGTAAGTAGAAACAAACAGACGTGAACTTAAAATCAAGTCGCAGTTGTTATGCAGTAGTTACTCTTCGTTAAAAAAAGTGACAGCTTGATTGGTTAAAATACAAGCATGTCCCTCAGATGATGAAAAAAATGCAGCTGAAACACGGCCGGTGTAGACAAGGTGACAAGGCTAGACAAAGACAGCAGAGAAAGATACAAAGAAAACAAAAATAGATCCTGATGAAATTGTGCCTAAAGAGGGAGTTCTTCTCATACATAATACAGATAGATACAGAGATAATTACCAATGAATTACTTTACGTCCCATGCATATCAGAATCACACCCTCGAACGAAAGACATCTGCTTGTGTTTGTGCATATAATGTAGAGACTATTACTTTTCATGCTTCTTACTACTTACACAAATCCTACAGGCTAAACCTTCAGGCAGTGGTGCATTTCCTGATGTACTACAGCATTTCCTAAGTCTTAGCACCTTTTTACAAACTGTCATTCATCATTAGCAATACAGAGTTCATAGTAAATCTTCCATTATTTAAAGGTTAATATTGTAAATATTTATTGTTATGAATTATTTGTTATAGCTGTTAATTCGTGAAATTCTAGCATTTGCACTATGAAAAGGGACATTATAGATCAACGGTTCATTAACCCGCTGTTTTAAGGATTTACAGCTCAAACATCAACTTTGGCATAATGCTATCGTTCTTATCACAACTGTTGTCCGTTAAAAAAAAAAAAAGGTATGGTTAATGTGCTTGTATAGTGAATTTGTTATTGTGAATTCCACATCATAACTCAGACCCTGATATTACCACATGCTCTTTCCAAAACTTGGGGAATGGAATTCATTTTAATCCCAACGATGAGTGGGAAAAAGCTCCATGATGCTGTACTTCTTTTTATATACAACAATCTTTACCAGTGGGGCAGAAAGTGTCAATTGGGGCCAGAGGATGGTGCAAGAGAGGTCATGTCCCCTAAATGAAAAGGGTTATTCTCTGCAAGGCAAGTTGTACTTTGTTACCCTCAGTCAACCTCATGTACTTTGGCTTAGCTGTGAGCTGAATGCTAACAGCAGCATGCTAAAATTTAGCATGTATACCCCTATTAACACACAAAGACTTGATTTGTTTATGGATGAAACTAATGGAAAACTTACTACAGAAACCAGCGACCAACCAGAGAAAAGGGAAGCATTTTTCAGTTTTGTTTTCTGAGCTTGGAGAACTTCACACAAGACAGAACATGGGCAGCTTATCTACATCTCTCTGAGCTCCTGCCTGCAGCAAGGCCATGTGGAGGAAACAGTGGTCCCAATCTCAGCTCATCTGCTCCAGGTGGGCTGACAGCAGAAGTCTAGGAGGCAGAAACTCTTCTTGTTTGTTGACCACCTCAGTCTGACGTGACCCTTGGTTGTTGGTGCCTTAAGGTCCAACAAACAAGCAGATTTTGATCACTCTCATGTGAGTGATATATATATATATATATATATATATATATATATATATATATATATATATATATATATATATATATATATATATATATATATATATATATATATATATATATATATGCATATGCTATATATATATGCATATATGCTATATATATATGCATATATGCTATATATATATATGCATATATGCTATATATATATATATATATATATATATATATATATATATATATGCATATATGCTATATATATATATATATATATATATATATATATATATATATATAATATATATATATATATATATATATATATATATATATATATATATATATATATATATATATATATATATATATATATATATATATATATGCATATATGCTATATATATATGCATATATGCTATATATATATATATATATATGCTATATATATAAAATTTATTTATTAAATAAATAAATATTTATTTATATATATAGAGAAGCCATAAACAGTTCACCACAGATATTCAATGGCAGGGAAATATTACAGCCTTTAAGTGTTGTAAAGGCTTTAAGAAATGGTTGTCCAAAGTTCAGACAACATTTTCCACAATATTTAAGGTGGGAAAGTGCCGACCAATCTGATATTTTAGTCCATGTCTAATATTATTCCACTCACTTGCAGAGACGAGGTCCATATACTGGCATACGGCGTGAAGCAGCAGTCTCTCAAAGCTGATTCACAAACGAGAGAAATGACTCAGTCTCATCTAACCACTTACAGAAACAATCAACTTGATCTGTCATTTCTGGAGAGAACCAGTTTCCTAGCACAGATGAATTAAGTTAGTCTAAGTGTGTTTTTAATGCGGATTATTTGCCTTTTTCCCCCCACATCCTGTTTCCTACAGCTGCAGTAATCTAATATAAACTGAGTTTATCCAGGTGAGGAAACATAATTAGAATCCATCAGCCAGGGCTTTCAATCTGACAGTGAGCGTGTGAACTTTGATATCAGCCATAATGTTACCGTTCAGACTGAAACAGATATTTAGGGACACTCAACAAAAAAAGAAGATCTACCGTCTGTAAACAATACATTTTCTTTCTTTTTAAAACTTCTAAAAACATGACTTTTCAGATCTTCAATTAAATGTAATTAATTATATGTATGTAAACTTTTTAAGACCTTCTTAATGCCACAATCTAATACTGTTTTAACTGTCATACTGGTCAATGTGTGATAGAAAATCAGAAGGGATGATATGGCCTAAAATTAGGAATCGGAGGGCTGTGATGCATTATAACATGATTATCGATGCATCTTGATGCATCATTTAATATTCTTTATCTATTATGTCATTCAAGTATTTAATTTGCACATCAAAATCTGAAAGAAACATCTCCAACTTAGCTAAAAAGGACTAGTTTGCACCCCTTATTTACATTAACCTCAGCTCCATGGTCTTTCATTTATTTAACAACCAGTTGTCAGACTCCTCTGAAAACTAAAATATAAATTATCAGGATGTACAGTATGTGTACAGGACAGAGCTGTACACCAGTTTAGTCTAAGCTTGTACCTAATGTTCTCAACCCTCGACAAGTAGGTATGTTAGTAATGACATACAGCTAATTAATTTTACTTTGTTACTAATTTAGCTAACGTTACATAACAGCAAAAAAAGTGGTGGAAGAGTGAAGGCTGTTAGTGAAGGCTGTTAGAATCCAGCATTTGGGGAAACGACAGATTTTTATTAACGGACACACTGTGACCTACACTTCACGTTTTCTACCAGACTGAAACTTACTGCTTATATTTTTCTCCACTAACTCTGACCGTCATGTTCTGCCACTCGCTCTCTCTCAGTCACTCGGCCACACACAGAGTAGTATGTAGCTGCAGTACCAGGACCGCAATCCTAGGACCCTTGTTTACTTTGATACTGCCAGCTACCTGGCTGGCTAGCCAGCTAGCTATGTTACTCTTGTCAGCCCCCCGAAGCCAATTACCCATACCACAACAATCACCGAGTGTGTGCCTAAACCTAAGTTATTGATTATATGCATGTCGACCGATTAACCCGACAGCCGCGCACATCGGCCTCACCTTCTTCATGTTGCTGTGGATTAACGTAACAACCACCACTCCACTAGAACTGCGGGCCCAGGATTGCAGGGTTCCTGAAACTGCAGCTATATAATATTGCACACAAACGATACACAGAGAGTCGCCAAGTGTTAAGTGTTACCGCGCTGACACAGCGTGCCAGTTAAAATCATCACTTGCACACTGATATTAATGATCGTGTGACATTTTACTAAGGTGGTTATTCATTCCACACTGGTGGTTTGCCGAATACAGGGGGACCACTTCAGCAAGTTCCACCTTTTGCGTTCCTTCAACATTACATTATTTATTAACATTTAATAATTGATTTTTTGACATTTGTTAATCGATTCAGGATCTTCCACGCCCGCATTGCGATGCATCTAAGAATCGATTTTTTCTCCCACCCCTAATAAGCGTGTAGCATCTCCTCACAGCCCGCATTTTATAACTAACATTACTGCCTATAGCAGGAAGGAGAACATATTTAAGACTTTGTTTATGAATTTTAAAACTTTCTAATTGCTGTTTTTTGTTGAGGAAACTGTATTCAATACTTTTTTAAGACCTGCAGATATCCTGAATATTATAGAAAAAGGATTTCTACCTGCTGGCGAGGTTGGTTGTGTAAACTGACTGAGGTTCAGCTCTGAAGAAGCTCAGAAGGTTTTTCTCAAGTACTTCCAGAGTTCCCTGCGAGAAGAAAAAAACAGTGTTTGGCAGCCAGGAAGAGAGAAAAGTAAGAGGTACAATCCCCACAACAATCAATGTGCCCTCACGCATTTATGCTTGAGCAAAATACTGAACTTCCTCATGGTGAGTCATGATTCCTTTACTGCTCTCGCATCCCTGTATGTCAAGCATTAATAACAATCAGGAGCTACTGTATTTCTAAACTGTCTTCCAATATTTCTGGTATGTATATGTAAAAATCTAGAACAGCTGTTTTCTAAACAGCCAAAAATAGCCAGTAACATACAGGGTCAACAACGAGAACAAGACTTTTGCAATGGTTACTGCAGGACAACAAGTTGGTGTATCCTCTGGGTTTGATGCACAGCAGAGATGCAGGAGAGACTAGTCAAAATCTGCTTTAAAAAAAAGGGGTTAACATGTCTTCGACCAGTTACCATATCACCATATGGACAGAGAACTAACAAGAAGTTGAGGCTCTATTTACTGCTATAAATCTTGACCCGTCTAACTGACATGATCGGTTTACTTTCGAAAGCACAATCAGAAGAAGAGATGACAATCACCATGGGGATTTTTTTCCGTCTCAGAGTTGCTCGCAGCCTGCGGTCGATTCTCTGGAAGCAGTCCTGAGATGTGAAGGCAAGATTTACTGTGAAGAGATATGTGATGGTCAGCCAAATAGCTGCACTTAAAACTACCAGCCTACAAACGAGCACAAGCGGAGATATTCACCATTCCTCTGGTCTTTGTTTTTCTTCTTGGCCCCCTCCTCCTCCAGTAGAGACAACAGCCTCTCCTGCTCCTCACCGGAGCAATTCATGAAGTCATTCCACGGCTAAAAGAACAAGGGAATGAGGAAGATTATTTCCTCATGTTTAAAACTTACTTGTTTTTTGGGTGCTTTTAGATTTGATCAGGCTAGGATCATAAATGCAAGGCAAACTAAGGTTTGTTTTAGGGAGTTGAAAAGGTAAAACTTAAATGTCTTAAAACTAACATACTGTAGTGCTGGAAGAAGAGAAGAAAACTTACTTCTATGTAGTTTCCATTGGTGCAGGCTTCAGTGAAGATGGACGGGATGGCCGGGTTACTGCAAACTTCCAGATCATCTTTGGAGCACTCATCCCGCTCCAGTAGATTAGCAAGGTAGAGTGCTGATTTTCAGAGAAGAGCAGTAAGTAGACCGTAATGATATAAGCAAAACTTAAACGACAGACTTTTGTAGTATAGGCATTTTGTAGCAATAGCCATTCCATACTCTTTTCCATTGCTTTTTTTGGTTGGTATTCACTTTCTACCATGTGAGCTAAAGGGGCGCCCCACTGCTTGCTATTTCAATGCATAATTCACGTGTGCATTGGAGATGTGCACATCTTTTAAAAAGGTAGCACACAGACTTAAAGGCTTGTCCTGCATTGTTCAGCCTGCAGTGGATGACAACATCTTACAATCTGATCACGCGAAATGAGATCTTACTGTTCTCCTGTCGACGGAGGCTCTTCTTGCCTTTGGCTCGAGGAGTGAGGTCAGAGTTGCGAATGGCTTGGTTGATATAGAATTGCTTCTTTTTGGCGGGAGACACTCGCTTGGCGGGAGAGTTAGGCAGGGAAGTGCATTTACGCTCCTCTATCAGGCTGGGAAAACAGAGGACAAGATGTCAGCTCCTCAGATTTCATTGAGTTTCCATTAGTATGGAGTCAGGCCACCACGAGCTTCCAGAACAGCTTCGCAGCTCCTTGCCAAGTCTGTGGAACTATATTGGAGGGATGAACACCATTCCTCCCTAACATATTCCTCATTTATATACAACCTTGATTTAATCAGGTAATATCATTTAGATCAAGATCTCTTTGCAAGAGAGACCTGAGTATAGCAGATATAGAAAAACGAACATAGCCAGACACAACAAAAGCACATAGCATGTCATAGACAGTCACAGACATCACTAAATAGATATGAAAGTTTATATTGTATAATTTGATCTAATGGAGATGGTGGTGGAGAGCTTTGCCTTACACACCTTGGTCCAAAATCTTCAATAGGTGTGAAAAAGCTGTAGCATTTTATTTACATAATTTTAAAACTCACCAAACCATTCAGTGAGCCCTGGTGCACATGATGTTTCTCCACTCTTTTCCTTTACTTTGTCTCCCCAGTTGCTCCTAACATGACAGCTAGTGAGGGTTCAGGCATATACAAAGAAACTGATCATTCAGCTGCTTCTCTCAGTACACAGAATACAGAAAAGGTGTTTTGTGTGACCTATTTTTAATCCATTTCAATGGACTTGCACCGTTCTTCTTGCTTTGACCAGTCTGTGTTGTGGGTGCTCTTTGAATTGGGCATTTCTTGAGCGTGCAGGTGATGTCACTTTTAAGCCTGAGAGGGTGCTTTCTGTCTGGGAAGAGCTTGTTAGTTTACTGCATTATTGCTGGATGACTATGTGAAATGGTGTATCTATATGGGCATGCAGTATATCATAACACCATAATCTTATTTGGTATGTTATCCAAGGAAAGAAGACTAATACACCAAACAGCTGAAGCGGTATTGAAACTGCCCTGCTTCTGTTTAATCTCTGCTGTATTTTTAAATGGACCACAGCTAGGAAGATCATTCTGCAGGAGCTGCAGATGTAGGTCAGTGGGTGTTGTGTGAGGACCGCCTCTGCTCGGTTATCTGCTTTTTTTTTTTGAGTTGCTACTTGCTCAGCAGCTCCCATTTTTAGCCTGAGCCCTGCAGGTTGTTAGCAGCACTACAGCAACACAACGTAATCTAATCTCTGTCTGGGTTAGTTGGGTTTGGCCACATGGAGATATCATATAATATCGCTCTGACAAGTAAACCTTAGCTCACTTGAAGCTAAGCTAACCAGGCAGTGACCCTTGTTACAGTTTTAACATAAGTTTAAACAAAAGCACTATGTTGTCTAACTTCTGTAACTTAACTTTATCTGTATATGTAACAAGAAAAGCACTAACTAGCCTACTAGTGCCAAGATCAGGGCGTATCAGCCAATGTGTTGGTACTAACACCTTGACGTGATTTAATTACCAATTTATAAACTCCACGATAACCTACATATCCAGGTCAGCTAGTTAGCTGCCAGCTGCTAAAAATGGCTGGTTAAAAAGGCTAACGTTAAATACTTATGAAGGTCAACCAAACTAGTACCTGGAAGTCTGTCGAGTTTTGTTGATTAGCAAGAGAGCTGGCACGATTTCAGCCAATCCAACACCCTTTACAACTCCAAAGCACAAAGCTAGCTATTTAAATGGAATAGTAATAACGTTAACTAGCTTGCTAACGAAACAAACTCGTACATTTTTACTCACATATAATCCTGTTCTTCGTTGTTATTCGTCAAAACGACCATCTTATTCCAGCGAAACAAACGGAGAATACAAATTAAATTATCTAGATCTTTAGATTGCGGAACGTGTAAAAATAAATAAAAACAAACAGCAAGTATGTTTGGCAGATTATCTTTGTAAGTAGCTACAGCTAACAGCTAGCTCCTGGGCTGCTAGCTTGACAGTGGACTTAACCACCCGAACAAAAATAGCCGTTGTTCTCCAACACAAACAAAGATGGGAGAAAGACTATGAGCTCTCACTTTGTCTCTGTGTAGTTACATTTGGTCATATCATCATCATCATCATCATCATCATATATTTAAGAACAGATCAAGTATTCCACCATACTTTTTTATCTAAATTACCATAATTGGATTTAATGTGTAACTATAAACACTAGAAAATAGATTTCTTGGACATTCTGGACCACATCCCAGAAAGAAACCAGGCTATGAGACTCTTAAATACATCCTCAGCACTGCTCCATACAATATAGTTTATTTCTGTCTACCATTTCAATAATTTTTGTATATGTATATTTTGTCTGCTTAGTAAAAGGGAACTACATTTTATAAATGTTAATGGAGGTTTGGGTTTTAACCTCCAGAGTGATTCATCTTGTTAATAGACAATCTTTGACAAACACCGTCAAACACATTCCTGTCATAACTGTCAAAATAAAGCCTATGCCAGCTCCAGCGTCTTTATAATCCAGCATCTTTGAGTGGTGTCAGCTCAAAAATGATCCTTCCTTTGTGATAATTTCAATGACTTTTCCCCACTCACAAAGGGTTTGTGTGCATGTTACCATAACAGCCAGTTTAATAGGCCTGCCACAAAGCCGTGTAATTGTTCTGTAGTTTTCTCACTGCTGCTGGAAAGAAAAAGAGCTGCTCATTTTGACACGGCAAAGAAAAAGCTTTAAATATTAATACGCTTTTTGAGAGATGTTTGGACAGATATCAGACACGATTCTCAAAGGTGCTTATATTCAAATTTCAGAATGTGGAAAGAGAAGACGACGAGGATAGTAAAAGTAGAAAAACATGAGCCAGACACTTGTCCGATGATTGTGGGTAAAGTAGAGAAATCAACTCCCAGGACGACAACTGTGAAGTCAAAGGAGAAGCCTGAAGTTACCACATCACACAGCAAATGTCTCACTACTACATGTGAGACATCAGGCAATATAATGAGGCTTTGGGTCAACTTGATGCCTGTTTTGGCAGCAGCCAAGGAGCCCGTGGAGGAAGAAGAGGAGCACAACAGCTGTACAAGTGAGAAGGAACCAGAAACCAGCAGCAAAAACGACCAATCAGTGGAGCAAAGACTCGACTCTTACACAGGATTAAATTTGAACCCGGACTCCAAACAAACTCTAAATCCTTGGTTTGTGCTGCCACCTATAACTGAACCTAAACCAGCTCCTGAGACTAAGCATTGCCACACATCTCTACCTCCCACCAGGTTATCTGAGAAAAGTAGGCCCATCTCTTCAAACTTCACAATTAAAGGCTGTGGAGGCGAGGAATTAGTTACGTGCAAGGTGCCAGACAGCAGGCCTTGGATAGAGGATCCCCTGTTCTCTAGAAGTGTGAGTAAACTACAAAACCAGCTGACTAATAATGCGCTTTTATAACTATTAAAGACTGAAATCTGCGTCTTGAAATACTTAAGCTCGTTTAAAAGTGATTCATATTCAGTTTAAATGACAAATGACGAAGTTAGAGTTTGGTTTATAGACACTGGCAACCAGGAGGCGTTGCATCATGATAAGCAGGTCAGTTTACAGTGGACTGTGATTGAGAAGAAATTAAGTTTAATACAAGGGGAAGGACATCAGCCATGTAGAGTAAGAATCAACAAGGATTTGTGCAATAAAAGAGTTTAAAAGGCACCTTCCTGAGCAATGATTGAGTCACTGTTATTGATCAGAAACTACATATAATAATCCACACATGAACTTCTTAATGACCCGTTAATGTTAACTTTTACATGTTTTTTACTCAAATATAAAAGGGTGATAATAATTTGATGGCTCATTATTTTTAAATTACTGCAAAGTCCGTAAAACTAGATTTAAAATTACACTCAAAAAATATATATATGATATATAATATTACTCAAACAGTAAGTGGTAAGCACATTTACTTAAGTACTGGGGGAAAACTGTGACACTTTGAAAGGGGCCTGACCCCTAAATTGGTAACCACTGGACTAAACTACCTGTACTGTAAATAAAGAAGTTAAAAGTAGTAGTGTTAGGTATCAACAGTACAAACAAGTGCTTTTACTACTTTAAGCACGTTTTCTTACTACGTATGTACTTTTACGTAAGTAGGATTTCAATGCAGAATTTTTGATTCTAATATTTTCCCCTCCTGAGCAAAACTGTCATCACACAACATGCGACTGACTCCCCCTCTCTTGATCTGGTTCAGAGATCTGCTGAGTTTCGTCTTCCTGACATCTCCTTGTCCAGTCTGGACGCCCTGCTGCAGACAGTCACACAGAAACTAGGGAGGAAGAGGAGAGGTGGTTGTGAAGGACCGTGGAGACATGTCCATTCTGATCGTCTCCTTGCGGCTGTTCGTGAACAACATTTGAGAGAGACGAGTGTTGGGCAACAAATTGGCCGCTGCACAGATAATGGAAACCTGGCCGACATGTGTGTTTGATGGTTTTGAATATAATTTTAATGTCATTATTTATTGTGCCATAGTACAAGAGGGAAATAAAGAGAGAACATTATTAAGGGTTACAGCATTATCCATGTTAAGGAACAGACTGGAAAATAGGCCAAATTTTCTTTGTACATTTTATTTATTTATAAATTAAATTTGATGTCTCCTTGAGAGGTTTCTAATGAGTGTAAATGCATTTAATAGCTATAACAGAAAAAAATGACAACTGTAAATAGTGCCAAAACTGAGCTTGAGATGATTAAAATCTTATTTCTTTAACTGACAGATTTATGAGCAGGTATGAGTCCTAAAGAGCAACTGACACTAATTTAAGTGCTCCATGATGATGTTAATATACTTTATGCCCTTGAAAAATAAAGAAACAAACCCCTGAAAGCAATATTTTCTTTAGATTTTAAGATAAGATTTTAATTTTTAAAATATTCTATAATCTAAAAATATTGATCATTACCAACCCTTACTGGTCAAACCAAGGTGCATACCTTAGTAGATAAAAATCTTAACACAAGTTATTTAAGGGGGTTTAATATATATAGATTTTTGTTGTAACGTGTACATGTAGAAGTTTATTTATCTGACTAACAGCAGTAGATAAGTGACTTCAATGTGAAGAAAACTGTCCAGTAAATTTGGTTTCTTTCTTTTAACAGTGAAGCAGCACCTGTAACATCAGCAGGTGGACGCAGTGTAAACAGACAGAGGGGCCTCCCCCCACCCATCCTCACTATGGCAAAGAAAAACCTCCAGACTTCCAACACACTGCAGTAATTCACCACAAACAACAAACTGGACTCACAACACACAGCACAGTATCTTTTAAAAATGTTACAGGAAAGGATATACTTTTATTTTCCTTCAAAACATTCACAACAGACATATACCTGCTTTTTTAAAATCTATGCTAGCATATCTCATAGTAGATGCATAAATTACTGTTCAAGTAGAACTTTTCAAGCATAATAAAAGTACATTCAGTAGTATAGACTTTCTTTCCAAAATGAGACATTTTAATCCAGCTTAATGTTTAGGTTTTGCGTTATTTTAGCTTTTTCAATACATCAAACCTCTTAAAACATTATATTGTAATGTAACAGTTTACATTTTAGAATGAAACCCGTCTGATGCTTTGTTTTGTCTCATGCCTATAGATACTAATCTTCTGATTATGTAACACTGCATCACAGTGCAGTAACAACCTGCTTTGAACATTCGATCTGCTGTGTCATCATGAAATAAATAAAAACAACCGTAGACCAAAGGCAATGTTGTTGTGTCTAGTGTTTACAGCTCAAACTGACTTTATTCATTCTTCGATTATTTGATCTTTGATCTATTATAATTTGTTTGAGTGTGATGTGTTTGGCATTATGCAGAAGATTTTGTAACAAAACAGCAGCTGAAACAGTGTAGAGGTGTGTGGACCTTTTCTATAGCTTTATATTGATATACGATAAATAAATACATTTTCCGGACCTTTCAAAGCTGTGTAGGAAGCCTGGATGTCGGATTCCTCTATAAGATGAAAAACAAAACATTGTTTAATTATTAAATAACCAAAATGACAGTAAATACCAGGCAGAAGTAAATATTGTTTTTTTCCTCATTATATGTAATACCTTTGTACAGTGATGAAGACAAATCACACAAAATAAAAAAGTTTTGACAGATAAAAGAGAATACAAACAGATACACTTGTAAAGTTCATCATTAAATATTTAAGAGGTATGTAACATCTTATTCTCCACATAAGAGGAAGCTGTATAATGTTCTGTAACAACCCTTAAATGCTTTCTGACATATAAAAGCATCTTAATTACATGTAACACATGTACTTCAGCTACTGTTTGAGAGTTTGCAGCATTTTCTTTTTTAAAGTGCTTTCTGCAAAATGAAGATGAGATTGGGAGGGATCTAAGGATTTAGCCCTGAGGAACACCACTGCTTGATTTTACATTGAGCTTTGCATAATATTCTTTCAGGATTAATAAACCATACGTTTGGAGTGATTAGATCAATACAGAAAGAGAAGACACAGTGTAAGATTTATGAACCCAAATAAAGGGTATAAAGCTTCAGATATGTTATAACGGTGAACAAGGCACCAAAGCCATAATAGGAAGCAGTAACTTTTGGTTCTTTCTTTAGACAAATTTACATCTAATGACTCTGTTTCAGTAACATTTTCAATGTCCATCTTTTACACTGTCATACTGAGGTCGTTGCCAACATTGAGCAACATTCAAATAAACTTACAGTGAATAATAAAAAGCATTGTTGGTCCTTTCAGCCTGCCTCCTCTGCTCTTGTTGCGTCAGTCCACGTCACAGTGCGCTGTCCTGTGTGTTGCTGTCGACCATAAATAGTGCAGATGGACTTTTACTGGAACTCTCTGCTCTGTGTTTGGACCCACTGGATTTACTGGATTCTCCCCGAACACCACCATTACTGCTGTTTGATCCACTGCTTACCCTCCGGCTCGCTTGATGCGTCTCCTCTGGCTGAGGTATTTGGGTCATTGCCGTGCTGCTGCTTTTTTCTCCATTAGCCTTGCCTTCTTTAGATTTGACCTTGCCAACTTTTGCCTTTTTTGGTTTACCCTCTTTCGGTTTGCCGTCAGATGATTTCGCATGGTGCTTTGGAGTCTTGCTTGGTTGAGGGGGCGTGACTGGTGGTTGTGGTTGGATGGTAGGAGGGTTAATCCTGCTGGCCAGTGCCTTCAGGTTGGTCGGTACTGTCATGTTGCCAATGACCACATCTGTGAGATCATCGTCATCAGTTTGCTCCTTGGCAAAGTTGACAAACACCTAGAAAAAATAACCGGCTTTAGTTAATTGATCTTTTAATTAATTTGTATTAGCCTGGTCAGCTATCAAGCTAATGACAGTCAGCAATCAATCATGTTCTTGGTCTTAAGGAGTTCATATTCTGCTTATTTCCCTTTCCCCTTTCCTTTATTGTTAAGTGTCAATTTGTTACAAATGAATAACTTCCCACACTGAAACGCTTGCTCCAGTCTATGTTGCAAAGCTGGTTCGGGAACATCTACAGCTGAACCAAAATTACTGCTTGTCAGGAGCCTCCCTACTCTACTTCTGATTGGATAGTAGTCCTTAACTAGGCAGTGCACATGTGCAACTCCCAACAAAGGTCAAATAGAAGTGAGATGCTTCACTTGGTAGCTAACACGGAGCGGTCAACACACAGGGTGAAAAGAGGTGCTGCAGCAATGAACAAAAGTAGTATATGGGGATTTTTTGAAAATTAAACCATGTAAACCTTTTCTGATACAACCCCTAAATAAAATTATGAACCTGAAAATGAGCATAATATGATCACTTTAACACATCTTAGCATTTATGCTAACTAATGTAACTAACTAACTAAACAGAAGCATGGAGATAGCATTAAAGATAGCATTGATGGCTGTTTTAGGTTTTCTTTTCTGTTACCTCATTAATACATTCAGTACTACTACCCCTACAACCACTAGCCCTACTCCTACTACTCCTAATAATAATTCTCACACATTGGAAGAAAAACTCTGCCCAAACCATGAAAATGTGGCTGGATTATTTAATTAATATCTTACATATCTCTTTCAAATTGATTAGGTTACAACTTGAATTTAGAAGACAAAGTACATTTTACACCTTTGGAATACGTCACATTCTCATAAAAATGTGAAAAAATTTGAGTGATTGATAATACAGTATATTTATCAGGTTGGGTTGGGGCGATGGGGTCCCTTTGTCTCGCACTCATCTTTTTTTGTTATTATTACAGAAAAGACAGTTAGCATTTGTTTCTTACCTGCTGGTGATTGTAAAGTCCTACTAGCTTTTGGTTTACTAATACTTGTTAAGCATTTGAATTTGTGCTTTTTCCTTCTTCCCTTTGAAACATTTTCAGTGAGCAAAGCCCAATGGGAAATAGCATTGCCTCCATAAAGGATATTCGAATCAGAAACATCATCGTCCTCACCTGGTCCAGGGTGGTCTGTGAAACAGAGAAGTCGATGATGCCCAGCTCCTCATAGTTGTTGGCCAGCACATCGAAGACACGAGCGAGGCAGCAGGCGTGCGAGGGCAGCTGGAACTGCAGCACGCTCTGGTGACGCTCCTTCAGCTCGATGCTGGGGAAGGAGCTCTTCATATAGGCACTGATGGGGCACGAGTCCGGATTGGATTTAGTGTCCACCAGACGGAGGATGATGGTGTAGCCATCACCAAACCTGGAAGGTGGAAGACGGAAGACGGAAAGAAACAACTGATCAGGATTTTATATGTACTGTTACATCAATACAGTTTATTGGAATTTGATTCAGTGCAGCTCTAAAAAAAACAAGAACAAAAAGTTTCTTACAAAAGGTTGACAAGATCAGAACTTCAGGATGTCAACCATACATCACGCAGCTGCACAGTGAAGCCCATTAATGTTGCTGCTATTACTTTTAAATTGCCTGACTGCATGCCTGCCTCATGGTGTGTGTTGTTCCTTAGGTGCACTGTAGAGTAATAGAAGCAGTCTACTGTGTTCAGCTTACACAGGACTACTTTGTGTTCATGTAATATACAGTCAATAATCAATAATTCTACAGCTTCAATTCTCCTTGCAGTGATTTAATTTATTTAAATACTTATTTCCACATGTTGACAAACTGAATTTTTTACTCTGGGATCATTTAAATATTTTATTCACATAGCAGTGTGGACCATATTTCATTACAAAATGAGCATTGGGCCATTTCACTGAACTGCAAGGTCTCAAAATGTTTTGGGGTATGGGCATGTGGAGAAAAAAATAAAAATAAAAAAATCACACAGTCATCGCAGTGTACTCTAATTTTATGTTGTGATAATGATGTATTTTATCATCATCATCACATTTTCTGGAAAATCAATTGACAAAATATTTATGGATAAAATAACCAGACAGGAATGTCTGTGTCTGACAAATCCTGCTAGTTCAATACCAGTTAATTTGTGTACTTCTTCACACTGATCAAAAGTCATATAAAAATCCAATATTAGCATAAAACAATCCTGCTCCCTCTTATTTAAGTGATACTATCATATAAATGGTAAGAAAAGGAAAAATCTCTGATAGTTGACAAATTTCTTACAGTATGTATTATATATTATACTAAATGATCTTATATCTTTACTATTTAATATTATATGACTTTTACTCGGTTGAACTCATAAATCGTGAGCAAAGACAGTAAAAAAATGGACTGTTTGGCTTTGAACAGGGGATCCACATGAGCCATCATCCTGTGTATTATTTAATATAGTTTCAATGGCATTGATGACGACATAATGATGTGTAAATTGAGCTAAACTCTGTTGAGATAAACAGTGCACGTGTCCTTGAGTACCCTCTTTGATGATTTCCCTAACTAAGAACTTTTCAGACGCTGACCACAGCAGTGACTTCATGCCTGTAAACCTGCCTCAATGAACAAACTCCCCAGAAATATCAGCACACAGAGGGTCCTTCACAGATCACTTCACCTCCGTGTGGACAATAAATATCTCAAATCAGGAGGCACATCGGGGTGTGACAATACATTTAGTTAACGAGATGATACACAATATTGTGTTCATCAGAATGAATGAATTAAAAGTGGCGGGGGGCATCTTCTATGCTTATTTCACCCTCTGTCATGCGGATTTTGCGAGAGATTCACCTTGACGAGAAATCTAGTCTTGATCTAAATATCACAAGATCTCGTCCCACCGCTACTCATTTACTGATTTATAAATTGTGTTTGTACTGTTGAGGTTAGACAGAATAAGTAAAAATTAGGTAAGACAGTAGTGTTTTTACCTGTTCTTCAGGTGTTGTACAGATCCGAGACACTGGAATCTGCCGTTGACCATGATGGCCATTCTGGTGCAGAGAGCTTCACATTCCTCCATACTGATCATACAGACACATGATAAACTCATTAACATATACACTATAAATATAAGGAAATTCTTGGGGTCATCCTAGTGTGTCTCAGCTACAACAGCCATGTACTAATATATATATATATATATATATATATATATATATACACACACACACACACACACACACTAACAATACTAAACGTATAATATATATAACAATAATTTAGTGTACATCTCCTCCTACCTGTGGGACGTGAGAACTACAGCTCTTCCCTCTTTCGTGACACTGAGGATGCAGTTCCACAAAAATCTTTTGGCTTTTGGGTCCATGCCAGTGGTCGGCTCATCCTAACAACAATGAAAGAAATCAAAGCGTCAAGGAAACAAATGTGTAAGTCAGAAATACTAGCACATTATAGCAACATAACTGGACACACTGTAGGCAAGAATTAAAACAGATATTACTGTTACTAACTAACCAGATCTAGGGGCAAAAAAATATATTTTTTATATGTAATGTCTTAAGTGTTTGTTTTTGATCTAAGCTGGTTATATGCAATATGTAGAGATATTAATACTGATTAGTACTGATTGTTGTTTTCTACAGTGAAGGGAAATGTTAAATGTTAGGTGACAGTAATGTTACTGTCACTACTCTCACCAGAAATATAACAGGCGGAGCCCCGATGAGGGAGATGGCAGTCGAGAGTTTTCTCTTGTTACCTCCGCTGTAGCCTCCAGCCTCCCGCTCGGCGTACTGGGTCAGTCCCAGCTTCTTCACCCCCCATTGCGCCACCTACAGGACAGCAGAGAAGGCACATTACTTTATAATCCTGCACAGTGCAGCTAAATAAACCTGTCACTTCACATCAATTTGATTCAGATATCACTTAATTTCAGACATAAAACTGCCCCTTTGCGTTACCTTGGAGACAGACTCCTCTGGTACTCCCCGCAGGCGGGCGTACAGCTCCAGATGTTCCCGACCAGTCAGCAAATCGCTGATGGCGTCAAACTGTGGACAGTAACCCATCAGCTGGTGGACTCGTTCCATCTCTGTCCGCACACTGAGAAACACAGAAACACATGACTACCAATACTAATACTGCTGCTATTAGTAGTACTAATACTACTGTTATTGAACAACTGCTAAATCTACTTCGACTAGTACTACCACTAGTACTACTGCTTTTGCCATTACTATATCTGCAACTATTACTACTCCAATTAATGGTTCTTCTACTACGGCTACTACTTCTAAAACTGGTACTCTTTCTGCTACTAATTTTGACTACTACTGATTCTATTACTACCGCTAATTCGCCTATGACGACAACTACTGCTTTTGTTGCTTATTTCAAAGCTTAGGGATGTAAGTGATATTTAACACACACACATCCACATTCCTGTCCTCTTATACCCAGAACAGATTCTCACCCAAAAATCTCAAAGGGACACTTAGAAGAACAAGGCCTTTTTAAAAGTTGAGAAAGTGTATACCTGTGGTGATTAAGGAAAGCCTCCCCATAGGTGATGGACGTGTCTCCGGTCAGCATGCGAAAGGTAGAGGTCTTTCCTGCTCCGTTCACCCCCAGTAAGCCAAAACACTGCAGGACACATATACCACAACATCAAGTTACAAATGCATATATACATGCAACAGCTGTAGTCAGCAGCTGGGACCATTCCCCTGAGAAGTTATTTAGTCAAAACGTAGCTATAATATATCTCTTTCACTCTACAATAGCAGCAGCAGAAAACACTGTAGTAGCAGCAGTAATTGTGGTTGCAGCTGTAGAAGCAGCTCTAGCAGAAGTAGCCTTGCAGGAGCAATATTAGCAGAAGAAGTGTTTTTAGAAACAGCAAAAACAGTATTTTTCACAGCTACATTAATAGTAGCATTAACAGGAGCTGTAGTGGCAATACTAACACTAGTAGCAGCAGTAGTAGTTTCAGCAGCAGCAGTGATAAAATAATGACTGGGATATTATCCAAAATGGAGAAAACAGCAATTCATCAATGAAACAGATGATTAACAATGATTTCTGATAATGACTGTATCTACAGATATATACATGGCAGACAGACAGTGTTGATTAGGACAAGTCTGACAAAATCTTTCTGTTGTGCTCTAATGTAATGAGTGCTGCTTTTAGTGCGTAAATCTCTCACTTCGCCACGGGGAATCCCGAGGCAGAGACGATCCACCGCCGGCTTCCTGCCCACTTTATAAATCTGCAAAACAAACAGTACACAAAGATGCAGTCATAGCAAGAAGTCTGTCAGCGTGGGATCAGAACGAAATGTTTATCAAAGACTGCGCTCGCCTGGGATTGAACGTGCTAAGTGTATGTGTGGGTGTAAGAAGGTGCTGTGACAATTTACTCATCCGATTTCAGTTCTGACTGTAATTCTAACAAAAATACTCATATAAGTAGTTTGAATGTTTTGTGTGGGTTATTTTTTCAATAAAAGCTGGATGTTTACTGAATTCAGATTTGCTGCCATTCAGCCCCAAGAGTGTACAACAGTTTGAGTTTGACTTCTGAGGTGTGTATGGCGGCTGTACCTTGCTCAGGTCTATCATGGTGAGGATGTCTGACTGGGCTTTGCCACTTATGACTCTCTCTCTCTCCCTGGCTATGTCCTCATCCTCTGGACCGAGAGGAGGCATCTCAGGCTTGACCCACCACGGCCTTAACGGAGAGAGATGAAACAAAGATCACCCTGTATCATTTAGGTTTTCTACTGTAGAGCAGTGAAACTATAAAAGTTATCCGTCTCATGTGTCTACGCAGAAGACATTAATTGGTTTCACATATTTATTTATTTTAATCTTATTTAGGTGCATATGCAGCTCTGCTCCAACCAACAGCTCTGTCTGCATTTTATTAAAATGACAATACCTGTAAAATTATTTTGGACATTGTTTTACTTTTTTATTCGCACGGACACAGACAGACAGACAGACAGACAGACAGACAGACAGACAGACAGACACACACACACACACACACGTGTAACAGTACATGAGCTTAAACTCTGGCAGCATTCAAGGAAGAATGGAAGAACCATAACTAATGAAGTCAAAGGTTAAAGCTTCTGTGCAAAAACAATACAATGATCATAATCATCATCTGAGGTGTGGTATAGAACTACTGGGATGAAAAATAGAAAATACAGTGAGGGTCTCCTGTCAACTGAGGGAGTTGTTTTAAATTTACCTGAAGCGAATGAAGAACTTATACTGCAGTAGTATGGTGAAGATAAAGAAAATAACACCTTCAGCTGCCATCGCAAACAGGTTCTTCCCTACAAAGTCCCACTGAAGAGGGTCTAGAGTCTGCTTTGTACCTGGAGGAGGAGGAGCCACACGCAAAGACACTCTTTACATACATATTCTTGATATACATTTGGTTATGTGTGTTTGCTGCAGTCTAACATGAAGTTCAAGTGTTTAGGTATGCATGCAATAATGCTACATAGGTTGGTAAACATGTATCTCCCTCATCTAACAACACACTACACAATTAACTGTATATTATATATACTTCACCACAACAATGAGCAGCAAGCAGCAAAAGTGGAGAAGTTTAGAGGTTCTTGGGGTAAAATAAGTTTTAGCAGATATCTTCTTTTTAGAGGCGGATATATTGTACAGGTACCCAGTCTCTGGAAGGCGTCCACCATGGCCTGGTTTTTGGCCATGTCGATGAGTCCTCGTCCCAGGCAGAAGTGAGGGAAGATGAGAAACACCTTCTTCAGGATCCTGTTCACCTCGTTCAGATGCTGGAAAGAACAAATCACCAAGAAATTGTGGGCTAGTAAAGGAGCACTAAATTAAAATGTGTCTTTTTGTTGTGTTACACAGAATAACTCAGCGATTACTCCTCAATATATCAAGACTTCTGGAATGGTTCGTTCTTTGATTACCGCTCACCGCTCAGTTTGTCACTAAACAACTGGAACAGGAACGCCTCAGAAGTTGCCTAAGCATCCCCTGGTTTTTAAGATTTCTTCAGTATGAAATGAATTCAGTGATAGTTGTCAGTACATCCAATGGTACACAGCAAACATGAACCGTTATTAGTAAAATCGTCGAGCTGTATATTAACGAATCATACACAGTTTAAAAGGTTTGAGTAATTTTTGTTAAGCCTCTCCATACTGTTTCGACCTGACCTTCATTTTATTTGTGAGATGGATGATTTTAGAAAGTTGTGTGGCGCTGCAGAGAGCCTCCAGCTGCAGTAACACATGGATTAGGCTATGTGTAAAATCAGGAGCATTGGACTTCATCCAGCCAGAGGGAACAACCACTGACCGTCCAGTGCGCCGGTTCCCGACGCAGACCACAGCTGTTGCAAACAACAGGCGCACGTGTAGAGCAGCCAGTTAGTTTGAAAACCAGTAGGGATACCACACTGGTTATAGATAGAACAAAATGCAGCTGCTTTGTTTTTCCGATTGGGTTTTGAAACAAAATAATCAAAGAATGAACCATACACGGACTTCATGGCTTTCCCACCTCACTACTTCCACAATAAATCTGTAAATTTCCCAAACCTTTCAAGTTAAGGGCCCAGTGTGACTGAATTCAAGCTCTCACTGAAGAAGGCAGTGTTGCTGTCATGTATAATTGTATAGCTGTTGTGTAGTTTACTGTTTATGCATATCTGGGCCTCATGTCTTATTATTATGTAGCCAATAAATAAGGACTCCTCCTTTCTGCTGCCTGTGCAGACTGGTGCCGTTTGTACCTCGTCAACAAACAGCTCCAGGACGAAAGTGGCAATGCTGCCGTTGATTCCGATGAAGAGGTTGATGGAGGTCAGAACTACATAGGCTGTGCTGGGGACGCTGAACACAAAGGATGCTGGGTACATCAGAGGGGTGATGGACCACCTGAAAAGGATGATTAGGTTAGCTAGGCAGACACATTACTTTTGGTGCAAACCATGATCCAACTGGGGAAATAGAGACTTTTTTTGTGCATCATAACAGTAAATTGAAGTAATATGGAAGCCCTTTAAACCTTTATTTTTGGCTTGGGGTTCATTCAGTTCCATAATAAAAATCGTCCTGTGTCTGATGAGATCAATTGAATTTGCCTTTGTGGTTAGGTAGGGAGCAAAAAGATGAATAAAGCAAGAAAGGTCAAAATCAAGTTTCAAGCTAATGATGTCTCAAGTACACAAGATAGTCCTGGGCTGTGAAATGAATCCCAATCAAGTTCAAGACACTGGTAAGAATTATCTTTGTTGAATGAACGAGACAATTAGATTACAATATTCATGATGAATGACTTTCGATGTGCAACACCATGGACAGCAAGTCAGTGGAGTCTGCCTTAACGTACCCATACAGCAGGAGCAGCAGAACGAGAGCAGGCAGGTTGGTTTCTGAAACGTATGACTGCTGCTGGAAACAGATGAAGATCAGTACCACCATGGCGGCTGGGACGATGTAGTTCAACTGCCGAGATGACAACACCAAACTTTAGAAAAACATTAAGTCTTTCTAAGATGATGTTGCAAGTAATAGAAAACCAACTCAGCCTGACGTGTGGCAGGAAATTGTTAGCTGGAATTTCAATTAGATTATCTTAAAGTACATTAGGTAATATTAGATTACATTTCCAGAACTACTATTTTCACAGTGATATGAATATAATGTAGGTGGAAAGGTCATGCTGTGTTGAAGAAGCAACTCGTAAACTGTGGCTATTGTCAACCTCAACCAGCAAAGTGTAGGAATTACAATTCTCATCTTTTCCAGTTCAAGTGTTGGCGTCCCTTCTGCTGCAACACTATAAATTGTACCTAATTCCCTTTAATGAAAAAAATCCCACCAAATATGATCAGAAATTATTTTACATATTTGTGTGTGAGCGAATATTTTGTACACTTTCGATTTGAGATTGTTGTCACATTGTGAAAACCTCTACCTCTCTCTAGTGTGGCACTTGATAGAGTACTGACCATGTCCCAGGTGAAGTTGGCCAGCCAGTAGAGGATCGGTTTGACCCCACTGACAAACTGAAGGTGTTTGGCTTTGCTGACTCGCTCCTCAATCAGAAAAAGGACGAAACTGGCCGGCACAAAGGACATGGCAAAGATCACACAGATGGAGACAAGAACATCGACGGATGTGGTCATCCTGAAAGAGAAGCAGGGGAAAAACACAAGTCAGGTACAGAAAAACATACAGTACAAAACATGCATAGCAGACCTATGAATTTTAGAACTCACAATTTGTCCTGTTTTTTCCATTTCTAATATTCATTTATAACATTTTCCTTTTCTGTGTAACTTGTTCACTGTGGTTTCTGTAAAAACAAAAACTGTTTTCTTGTTTTGTTTTTGAACATTTAAGCTTCACATTACTGCTGATGAAGACATCATTTTGATGTACAGTAACTCTGTATAGATTTTTCTACCTTCCAGGCAGCCATTGGTTCAATTCATGTACGTATAAGTTGGATCAAAATCCAAACAGAATGAATTTACCTCTTGGGGATATAATAAGCACAAGAAACCAAATCTACTAGCATCAACCTAAAAAGCAGCAGTGAACTAACATGGCCATTTCAGTGAGTTGTTCCTTGGTGAGGTTGAGCGGATGGTTGTAGGCAGTGATGCCGTGTTTTCTCCTCTCTGGACCTGGTGGCAGACTCGCTCTCAGCAGGCCGTTGTTCATCACGTTGACAAATGACACCATGGCATGCCATCCTTTGTTATTGTACCACACCTGAGTACAGCAAAGAGAGAAACATTTTTCAATATAAAACCTATTTGGAAACTGCTTGGACGAACAGTCACACTTGGCAAGTTGTTGACAGAAAAAAGATCCCACAAACAGCTATATGGAGCCAGACACACAAAACAAATCACTTAATAATTGTTTTTTGTGTGTGTGTATATGTGTCTAGTAATATATGTCGTAAATGGTTTAAAATGTTGGAAAAGACGCATTTACCTTGACATTGTTTTGACTGCTCAGTCCTCTTAGAAATTCTGGCAGTCTGTTTAACAGATGATCCAGTGAACTGTTCTGTGATGAATCAAAGAGCATCAGAAAAGAAATTAACTACCATTCAGAAAAAACAGCTGTTTCAGTTAAAAACACCTGAAACTTCCTTTATACCTGTGGAACTCGATAACGAGTCCTGATTGCCACAACCGAGTCTTGGACATGGTGGACCTGAGATAAAGTCTGGGTGGCACGGCCTCCAAGGGAGAAGCCTCCGTATCTGCAACACAGAAATTAAACTTTGAATAATTTTTGGAAATCAACAATGTATGATAAAAGATGATGTTTTAGACCAGCAGCTCACCTGAATTCATTCACCCACTTCTTGGTTTTTAGGCTGTTAATGACACAGAGGGAAAAGAGTGAATGTGTGAGAAATATTAATATAAAATTGGGTCTCTGGCATGCACACAAAAGCTCTGAAACCGGTGAATGGCAGGCGAGCAGACAGAAAAGGGTCAACAAGACTCAGTTTAGTTGGAAATGTACAGTGTTAGTTACAGTGACTAATGAATGGAGACTACAGCTCTGCAGCTTCGCAAGATTAAAGCCCCCCCGCGCGCGCTCGTAGTCAGTGCACAAAAACACAGTACATGATTCGACTATCACTTGACTATAGCAAGACTTGACAATTCTGTTTCGACTGTAAATCCTTTGACGGGGACAGCACTAATCCTTAGTAATCTTCATCAAAACCAAAAACCTAAACTAGTAGGTAAAAGTCAACACAATTTAATGGAATACCAAATAGTAATGCACGTTATTGTGTTTTGTTTAATGCAGTACCTTTTTTTGAGGATCTGAGAGTAGGTTTTTACCAGGTAATCAGTGATGTTATAACTTGTCAGATTTTGGAGGACGTCTCCAGTTGGCCTCTTGATCTAAAAGATGACAAATAAAAAAAATTTGAAGAGCCAGATGTAGACATATGTATATATCACCATATGATACAATGCACAAGCAAATATTTCATGAAAATGTACCAGAAAATATTAGCCTTAGCTCAATTACTTTTACTTCCATTTTAAAAGAACAGAAATCAAAATAATTTCATTTTAGCATATGAAAGAGCACTGGTTCAGCTCTGTCGTCTATACCGGATGCAGATCATTCGTTAGAACATTCAACACTGCATTTTGCAAATAAATCAGTCCTCACTGACCTGTGGAGGCGGCAGTCCACCAGCACCCTGCGGGCAGTCGGGGAGCATCCGGCGGACGTCCTCTGTGCTACACCGACAGTCAGGAGACGGTCCATCTCGGCTCCAGTTGCCTCTGCTGAACATTTGCCAGGTGGAGTAGGAGACCTGTGGCCGCATGAAAAGGCCACCCCGAGCGCCTTCACACTGAGGACTCCTGCAGGGAGAACAGGGAGGGAATGTGGAATCAAGGTTTGTGGTTTAAGTTTTGAAACGTTTCCTGAATGTTTTTTAATAAAATAAAGAGCATTAAACTACTACAAAAAAATTTAAAAGGGATACAGAGGTCCCTAAAGACATTTGTGTTTCGAGATAAAGCTTAAAACTTATGTTGCAATATCCCTTAAGTGCCAGTAGAGGTCATAGATTACTTAAAACCCCCAATGAAAAGACTACACTTTGTACTTTTACACTAAGCAGTAATCCCTGTGTAAGTAAAGTATAATGAACATTTTCATAATGCATGTCTTTAATCATTAAACAGCCTATTTTATCTCCCATTTGTAGTAAATTTTATAAGTTATTTTTTTGCACTATGTTGAAGATCCTGATGTCTCAGAACCAGAATGTGAACCTTTATCACAGTTCCTTTCAGTTCCTGGTTCTTCTGATGCTGCACAGACAAATTATTGTATTCATAATTTACGTCTTACGTTCTGTTGTCTTCTTCCTCTTTGTCCATGCACTTGGTACCAAACCCTGGCAGGTCCAACAGAGCTTCCAGCAGGTTCTCCATGGCCGGGTTCCCAGGTGCGTCGTTGCTGTAAATAGTAAACCAGAGGTGAAGAAGCTCGTCAAATAACATTTACAAGCATCAAGTGAAGAAAACGACCAGTTTTTTCACAGAATAAAACCTTCAGTTAGTAGCTGGTTAACTCTGACCAAAAGGACCAAACTAATTCACTGCAGAAGAAACTGATTTAAAACCTTTTCTGTGCTGACTAACGCAATGATGAATACTTTGTTGCAGGCCTACCTGAAGAAGGTGTACTGTTCTCCGTACATCCAGGGCTGAAGCTGCAGGGCGGGATACTTCCCAAATGGAGGCACGATGAGGCTGAAGAGCAAAGCGACAAGCACGAACACAGCAGGCAGGACAATCTGAAGCACAAATAAACCTTCAGATGAAATACTTCTCAATACAAACTTACAGAGAGAATGTCTCATTCTCATTAGTGACTAACAGCTAATTCCCCATAGAAACACCATAAAATAAGTAGTTGACTATCTCTTACTAACTGATGAAGAAGGGACAGAGGTTGTGTTCATTATGGAAGCCATAAACCCTGTGATGATGGATGGTGAATCTAGCTAACAGCTGCTGCTGAGGTTTTTCATCACCTGAGCGAAGAAGCCCCTGCGGCTCCTTCGAGCATAAAGCCAGCGTTTGGTGAAGAGGGCCCTCAGCTGCTGCCAGGTCAGCCACCAGCCGGTCAGGGGGATCCCACCTCGGCCATCTCCGCTCAGCGGGTCTGTCTCCTGAGGTTCTGCAAGCAGGAAAAACACACTAGGCTGAAAAATACATAGACTTCTGTCGGTGCTGTCCACCTTTTATAGGATGGAGACACTTGTCAGATCAGGGCCACAGAGTTCTAAGAGTAGAAACACAACATGACAAATGATATGACATGAATAACTGACTACATCTAAAGGCAGTCATGTAGCTTCTACATGGTCTTGCTGTTTTTTCAGAGTTCTTGGGAGAAACACTGAGTGCGTGTAAAATTTGGAATTGAAAGATAATGAAAACAAGCTAATTCAGTACAAACAATTTGGTCTAAGCTTTCAATGAACCCAAACTCAGTTAAATTCCTCTTATTTGTCAACTCTTCAATAAATGCTGTGTATCAAATCTGGGGGGAAAGACACTTTCTTTTTCGATCTAATTAGGATTTTCAGTGAGGAATAATCTGAAGGTACCTTGCTTACGGAGCCTTTTCCTTCCTGGCAGCATTATGAAAACAAACAGTCACAGTTGGAAGATGAAATAGCAGATGGACTGTACATGGAAAACACTGTGTGGTATGGACACAAATCTTTGTGTCTGTGAATGTGCACACCTGTCTCTGGTTCTTCAGCGTGTTGTCTCTCAGCTGATGGCTGGCGCCTGTGGGGAGATTCAGCCTGCTGCTCTGGTTCAGCATCTACGTTGGTTTCCTCTGCCACTTGTAAAAAAATCTGGAAATGAACAGAAAGGTTGTTGTAAAAGATTAAACGCCTCCTTACAAACACAAAAGTTGCTCTCTAAAGTGTGAAAAGAACAATTCACTTTCTGTGGAGAAAGTGGAGAATTTGAGTTCTGATGACTGGGTAAATCTATAAGGTCTCTCTGGATACATGATACTTATGAAAAATCTCACCTACTGCAGCTTTAAGTTCAAACTCAGGCAATTCTTTCAACCTTCAAGCCCTCACAGCTGAAGCATTAGACAGCAGGTGGCAGCGGTCAGAGGGGCAGAGAGTGAGTGGCTTATTCATACTGAGTAAATTTATCCAACGCCATAAGTCTGCTATCAGGGGTAATCTGACGCTAACATTAAACCCATTAAGACCATGGCTGCTCCACAAATATCCAGCCCTCCTGATACGACCTGGTTCAGCTCCTGTAGATCACGCTGGTGGGACGACTAATGCCTCACTAATGTGAGATGGTGATTCTACACACTCTAAAATACACATAAAACTGGCTAAGGATAGTAGGAAAGAGCTTCAGGAACATGCAGGCTGCGTTGTTGTGTGCCTTATATCAAGTTTAAGTCGGACAAAAGACACCTACAGTTGGTGTTCATTCTTTAGCTAGCAGCAAATGTTACTGGCTGAGTTTAATAGCAGTTTAACTGACACTGTACCATCCACCATTTTGTCAGTTAAGTGACCAAAATATTGATCATCTTTAATCTAATCCCCAAAGTACCTTATTGGAGCGTTATCTAAAGGTATTGTTTTTATTATAGCTGTTTTATAATTGTTGATATTTATAAAACATTTCTGTGATTTTTGTGGTTTACTGCTTACCAAGCTGTCTACTATTACTAGCTGTCTGAGGCTAATGTGTTGCTAATATGGGGTGGTGATGGTACAGTGGACATGACACACCTTTGTTGTGGGCGACCATGGTTTGATTCCCACTGCGACACATCTACCAATGTGTCCCTGATCAAGACGCTGAACCCCTAGCTGCTCCTGAGGTGTGCATATATGTATGCATGTATGGCAACTGTAAATAGCTTTGGATTTAAATGTCAGCTAAATGAATGTAATGTAATACAACATTCTAAGTAACTGTTGGGCTAATTGTTTAATTTTCTATTTACTCTTTTTTACTTTTTCTTGGACTCAATATGACTTGATTAATTACTGTGTTGTGCTTCCTACATAATTAAAGCTGGAGTGTGGGACTTTTACATATAAGTGAACGTCTGTTACATTCCAGCCCTGGCCAAACGAGTTCATGCATTGCTGATCAATCCAGGTAAATCTCTCAGTATATGTACATGTAGAGAGCTCCATGATCTGCCATTGCTGCACGAAAAAAAACAAAAAAGGTGCACTGGTCCACTTACTGAGAAGTGTTTATTTTGTTTATTATGACTGTATAGTTTGTGTTAATATACTTTGGCAAAATTGTATTGTATGCAGCCATGCCAAATGCAGATGATGCAACTTTGTCTCTTTATGCCTCTGGACCAACCATAGCGACAGAGTAAGCTAAGGCAACTGGGAATATGTTGCCTAAATAACCTAGGAAGTGTCCAAGAAAAGTTTCTGTTGCACAGTCTTTGTATAATTATTCTCACTGCTAGAAGGGCAGACAAACCTTCCTTGTTATTCTACTAATTCTTTTTTTATTTATTTATTTATTTTTAACAATACCCTATGTCTGACTGTTATTTATGGTTTGTCATGTTTTTGTGATTTGTAATCACCATCATTAAATTTGTTAAGTAATTTCCCCTTTTCATAGTTTCACAATTGCTTTCAGTAAAAACAAAGTTTACAACATGTCTTATTTAAGTGTGTTTAGTTACCTGCATGGCTGTGGACCTCTCAAAGTGACAAGTTTATGAAATTAACCGCTGGCTTGCAAGTTTAGGGCTTTGAAGGTTTCTGAAATGTGGATCAAGTGACTTATTTTTGTATCCATCAAAACAAAGTAAATGTTTCACCTCCTCCAGTGTGCTGTCTGATAGGCCGTAGCTGCTGATGCCTAGCTCAGTCAGCCTCTGATCCAGCTCAGACAGGAAGACGCCCAGGCTGCTGTCCTTAGCAGCCATCTGTGGCAGGTTGACCACCGCTTCGCGCCGTGACTCCTCCACCAGCCTTGCACCTGGGATGTGGTGCTGTGCCAGAGAGAGCAACGCCGCCAGGTCTGCCGTGAAGACAATGATCATGCAGTAAGATCTTTCTGCTGTAATCATCAACACTAAATTGGTGGTTGTAGAAATTGTAAATGCACCCAACGCTGAACCACCTCAGCTTACTGTAGAGGCCAAGCAGCAGTTAAACACTCACATGAGCTGCTCGCCTCACTTCCCAGCCCGGTGTCTTCACTCATGGATGACTCGCTGTCCTGAAACACATAGATGAGTTGTTGGGTGTTGGTTGGTGCATAACAACGTGAATGTGAAGTATTAGTATTGTAAAAAATATATGAGCATAAGCATGCACACATAACATTTTTTGGATAAAAAAAAAAAAAAAAACAGACCTTGAAAGGAGGTAGCTTGTTGGTGCTGATGCTGGTACTGGTGCAGATACTCGTGCTGCTGGGAGTATTGGTGTCCAGTCCGTCCCGCTTCACCACAGTGAGGTAGTAGCCAGATCCAAGGTGGGATTTCAGGAAGAGCGGTGAGCCACAGCAGCACAGCTTTCCCTGAGAGATGATGGCAATCCGGTCAGCTAGCAGCTCCGCCTCGTCCATGTAGTGGGTGGACAGGATGATCGTCCGGTCTGATGGAGAAAGACAACATAGAAGCATATTAACTATTTATTTTACATTTCTGTATATTTTGTAGGTCTCATGTAGTTCTTGGATCAGGTTTAGGTGAGGTTCTTTTGATCCAGTCACTAGATAACAGCTAGTGTCTCCCAAAGGAAAAGCATACCCAGGTTGAGGGTAACTATACACTACACTAGTTTTTCAGCATTTTCTTAAGCCCACTCTTGTGTAATTATGCAATATTTAATTTCAAGTAAAGACAAATAAGGCTACAAGGCTGTCACTCTAAAACAGCATTGTTGGTTTGGCAGTTCAGGCTGACCTGCCTTTCCATTTACAGCAATAAATTTGTGGTTCCACAGTTCCACAGAACCCCTTTTCCTGCACCTTTGCGATATTTGAGCAGCAGATCCCAGATCCCTCTGCGGGAGTAAGGATCAACCCCAGCTGTAGGTTCATCCAGAACAACCACCTTAGAGCCTCCAACAAACGCTATGGCCACAGACAGCTTCCTCTGCATGCCACCTGACAGAGAGACAGAGTGTTTTCATTTTGGAACAGAAAAATATGTATATATTTTAGGACAAAATTGACCCACCCCTTTATAAAGAATGTAAAGTGGTTTTACAAACTGATGAAAGTGAGGGTCAAATCATGTTTTTAATACAGAGGTTAATCTGGCAAGTTTACCTGAGAGGTTTTTAGTCTGTTCATGTCTTTTGTGCAGCAGGCCGACGTCGTCCAACAGAGTGTCCAACTCAGCTTTCACCTCTGCTTCAGACAAACCCTTCAGGCACCCATAAAACCACACATGCTCCTCCACTGTTAATCTGAGAGAGATAAGCCATCAAGAGAAGATATAAAAATCTACTCCTTAACCAACATCTGGGTATTTTCTGGTGAAAGTCAAACCTACTGTACTGATACTGTAATCTAGTGATCATCTTCTACTACTACTACTACACAAAAAAAGACTCTCAAAAGAAGCTTGTGGTATGAAATCTACAACAGGAACTTCTGAACCCATCAAACCTAACCAGAGTAAGCCAGAAACAATTGCAATGACAGCTTATTACCAGCGTTTTGTGTTGAAAAGACAAGCCTTACATATCGAACAGGACATTGTGTTGTGGACAAACTCCCAGCGTTCTCCGGATGATATTCATGTCATGGCGGATGTCCAATCCATTGATGTACACAGTGCCCGAGGTGGGTGGGAACAGGCCAGTAAGGACAGATCTAACAAACATCAGGCTCATTACAACAAATACTTTGTTTACACACATCTTCCACTTTAAATTAGCTCCTGAACTCATACCCATTACAGATGTTTTCATAATTGTCTAAGGTATCCTAAATCACCTGACAAAAAGTCAACATCAAGACTGTGAGTACAATACAGTAACAGCAAATTAACACATAATTAAGACATAAAACCTGCCAAGGCATTCTGTGAATTACACATTGAAATTTGTCAGCTGATACCAGAGCGAAAAGCGTTTTTCCTTTCTTTTTGCTTCCCTTTTTATTGTGCTTTGGTCTAATATCGCTCAAACACTAAAAGATTGCTGGCTTCATCTCCTAAAATTTAACTCAACCAAAGTGATTCATTCTGCATTAAATCCTTGTACAAATAGAACTCATTAGTGCCGATAGTCCTTCACCCGGCAGGTCTGCTCCTTACATGGTGGTAGTTTTTCCGGCTCCGTTGTGGCCAAGGAAAGAGGTGATCTGCCCTTCATAGAACTTCAGGTTGAGGTGATTGACGGCCAGTTTGGCTCCCTTCTTGTAGATTTTCACCAGGTCTCTGATGCTCACACCCAGGGTCAGGTTAGAGGGTTCTGGTTCAATGTGATCTGATGACAGAAGAGCATTTTATATATTTAAAAAGGACAATTTACCTTTATATGTATCTAAATGTCAGGCAGTTAAAATGGCTAGTAACCTTGTGGTAATTCTGCTTTCACAGTGATTTATAATCAATTATAAAAGTGTACGTGTGAACAGAAGTCATCAGCCAAATGGTCACAATATGTTTTTACATGCTGAGAATGCAGCTCCTTAGTGAACAGAACGAAGTGTAGTCTGGACTGATTCTTAGCTTTAGTCTCTGTGTGCTCTTAAACCTTGTTGTTAATGAGTTTATTGTCTCAGCTCATCAGCTTGATTTGTGCTTAATTGGCTTAAACATACAAAACTACCAGTGTAGTCTTTTAACTGGTATTAGGACCAGAGGAGAAGACTGTAGATGGCAGCCAAAGTCTGTAACTGGGCAGAAAAACAGACACGCTGCTTATCAGTGATGTGACTTCTATTTACAAACTGATGCTTGCTTGTAAACTGTAGCTATGATTGTACCTTTTGATGACCTGTGACAGTAAAAAAAATGTGTAATAAAAAATATGTTAACTCATAAGAGCTGATGTACAGCAGCTTCCACAGTCTTGTACCTTCATCCTGTTCAGTAGGTGCGGGGGGGATAGGCATGCCTGCCTCCAGGGGAATTCCACCCCAGTAGTTGATCTGGAAGATGAAGTACCAGGGCCTGGGGATCCCATATTCACCTGATATAAAAACACACAAACGGCAGTTTACCAGTTTAACCAGTATTTCATTGACCACACTGCATTCCTCTGTACATCTGCTTTCAGCAAAGCACTCATATCATGTTACTAAAATTAGAACAGTGTTACGCCAAACAATAACAAAACTAAAAAATCATCTATAAGGGGAACATACTCAGAACAACGGCAGCAAACTGAGGAAACTCAAATATTTAAGAAAAAAAGTCTATCACTATCACTATCAAGTTTCAATTTGACCTTGACCTTGATCTGACAACAACAGCTTCAAGATGCAGCAATCAAACTCGACTTGGCTTTTCTTTTTCTAAATTAAATCATTATCTATCTAAAATAGTATATGTATTATAATATGTGTTCATATTCACAGAAGCTATAAACCCTTATTCCCTAAGTGAATATAAAATACACAGCATACTTCCAATATTCATAGCTAGGATAAATTTCCAATCGTCATACCAGGAAAGACTGCTTCGATGTACCAGGCTAAGATGGCGTAGATGAAGGCATCCGCATAAAGCATGCCTATAGAGGTAGTGAAACTGTATGAATCTCCTTCCACAGGGCTGGAACGGAGATTGTACCACTGGATGCCCACTCCTTGCTCTTCATACTGAGAGAAATACTCACAGCCGAAGCCAAAGGCCACAGGGGACAGGAAACTCTGAGGAAGTAGGACCAAACAATTTTTAATCTTGACACATTTAACCAAATGCTGCGATATTGACAAGTAAGAAAGAATGTTTCGATATATAGAAGCTTTACATTAAAATACTTAATTACATACATTTAATTTCATGGTACATTTTCTGATTCAGTCTGTGCATTTATTCTTCTTACAAATGCTGAAAATCTATGTATGTATACTTACTTTTTTACAACTGGACCTAATTTTTCTAGAACTGTATGCCAAACATTTTGATTGTATCCATAATTATTTTACTCACAGCGAGCACTCGGTGGGTGGTGTTGAGGCGGTCTCTCCAGGCCACACACAGTACGTAGGGCAGGTAAAGGCCAAAGTATATAAGCCCCCCACATGCAGCAGCAAGGTTTGCTTTGGAGAAGAAGGTGCTGATGAGGAAGCACTGCATGATGGTGGCGGTGGCAAACGCCGTCAGGAAGAAAAATACAACAGACGGGTTGCTGTACGGCAGAATGTCCCCCCACTGGAAATAAGACAAAGGGAAAAATAGGGAGGTTAAACAGTGACTACAGGAGATAGAGTTCCAGATAAAGAAAAGCTTTACCTTCAGCTGTAATAGCACAAGAAGCAATCCTCTTATAAGATACAGACTACTACATTTTTTATTTACAGCTACATTTTCTTTCCTGATCATGTCCATCCAGGTATTTTATATTTTAGTGTGTATTTTTTCTAAAATATATTTTGTGTAGAGTGAGTGGTCATCTTGCCTTTAGCAGAGCAATAAGGAGCGCTGCAGAAACCAGGAAAGGAACGATGCTGCTGATGAACCAGCTGAACCACAATGTTTCTGTTCCCAGACCCATAATCCTCATGGTTTCTTTCAACCTCGCCTCCTTCTCGTATACCACGCCTTTGATGATCATGGCCACCGAGTAGATCCACGCCAGTGTCATGAAGAGTGGCAGAGAGCGGTTCAGCACTCGAAGGAAACTGTTATAAAGGTAATCTGAATTGAAAATCATGTGCTTATGCAAAACAAGGATGTAGTAATATCCTAAAGCAGAAAGTTGCCAAAAGTTTATTTAAAATATGAATACTTCAGACAATTCAGACATGTTCTATGAATTTAGTTTTAGTAAACTCAAAACATTGATCGAGACTCCTTGATTACTGATATTATTCCACACACAAACAATTGGCCTACAAATTCAAATCAAAAGACAAAATGAGGTCTGCCATAGAGTAACTCTCTTCTTTTCACAGCTACTATTATGGTGTCCTTGAGCAAGGCACTGAACTGTCAAGCTGCTCCACACTAGAGAGTAACAAGGGGGTGGATTTTAACTCCTGTCCAATCCCACAAAAATATTCTTGTCCTGTCCCAATCCCGAAAGAATGACTCCTGTCCGTTTATTCATATAAGAACTGCATATTTATATATAAAAACTCATCTATGATTCCCACTTCCCAACTGACTCCTATCTCGTGGGAATCCCAAAGGAATCCCGTGACCCACATAGTTCCTGAAAGAACCTCAGCCTCTACACCAGACAAGCTGCCAGTAGCAGATTATGGCTGTACTGGTCTGTTTCATAAACACGTGGAACTGTGTGCGCAGTTTTTAAAAACACCAATCTAAAACAACATATGACTCACACATCATCCACATAGCAGGGGTAGGGCATCTGCTGGATGTAGATGCCGGTTGTTTGTTGAACTCCGGTCAGGATGCGGCTCACAGCTCTCTCCACTAGGTCCTGGATGTACACGAAGCCTCCCCAAATGTAGCGCATGTCATTAAATGGGTCGGCTGCTGGACCAGGATCCCAAAACCTGAAGAAAAAAACCCACCAAAACAATGTTGTTGTTTTTTGTTTTTTAAATCCAAGTGCTAGAGAAAGTCAACACCAAGAAAAAAGAAAAAAAAAAATCTTGATTATCTTGGATTAGATGGAGCAATGGAGTAGGGTGTTCAGGAAAAAGTATATTCACACAAAACCAAAGCTATTTACTTGCAATTCCAATTAAAAGATAATTGATGCTAATAAAAGAATGGCAGGATAGAAGAAAGATATTTTTGGTGCTTCCTCAGTACCTGTCCTTAATCTTGTTGGTCCGGGTGACATCATCAATGTCCATTCGGATTTTGTAAATGACATGGGGCGGCAGGTCGAGGGTGGAGGAGTTGGGCAGCAAGAAAACCACGCCCGCCCAAAACTGCCTGTCCTCTAGTAGCTCCAAAGCCCTATCAATCATCTCACCCTCTGTCTCCAATCCCTCCAACTTGTTCAGAGAAAAACACTGCAGAGGATGTAGATATGAATGATAAATAACACGAAAGAGAATCTGAAGTTAAGATTTAGTTATACTATAACAACATGAGTCCATGTACTTTCATCTTAATTATTCTGCAACAAAAACCAGAAAATGAAAAACTAAGCTTTTTGTACGTTTCCCTTGAAAAGACTGCCTGAATGCAGCACACAGTGCAGCAGGAAGCAGTGTACAGTGTGTTCCTGCAATCTACAGCATAACATAATTGTGACTGGCACAGAAGCAAATACAGAGAACCTCCCTGCGACTCCAGCGCGGTACATAAATGCAGTTTTTCATTCACTCAAAGAAATGTTGTCTCTGAACATCATCCAGGCAGCGACTGCATTTGTTATCACAATGTTATTATGAAAACAATTTAGTAATAAACAAATGTAATTTCTATGAGACAGGGTTGATGTGGATAGGCTATTAGGTTTGATAAAACATTCGGGACATTACCCTGGGTAGTGTATGCAGATCACTATTGTCTTGCATGTATTCTGTGAGGGCCATTCTGTCCTTTTTTATCGACTGGACACAGCCTACCCATTACTAAACTGTCAATGTTGAGTTTTGAGCCTTTTTCTATAAATTCTGTTACATGCCAGAAAATGCTTTGATATCCATCTTTTTTCATAATTGAGTGACAAGACATGTTTTTAAAAAGCCTAGTTTTTCCATTTTCGAATTATCGTTTCAAAAAAGGAAATTGATTGAGTCGAAGGTACATGGATTAAAATGAAACTGATTTTGGTTTAGGGCTTAAATACAAAAAGGGCAAAATAATTATGAAAAAAAAAAGAAAAATTTGTTAGGATGAAACAGCAATAATAGAAAATCATCCCACCTCTGTTTCTTGAAAACTTTGTGTACTTTCCTACTCCAAATTCAACCAAACAGGATTGTTCTTATCTCTCGTCTGTTCTTATTCTCAGTGCAAAGTTAGAATTTCTGAGAGTTGCATGAAGAGAAAATAAGAATATCAAAGAATGAGAACCTCAGTGACTTGTGCAAGAATGGTGATGGTGTGGTCGAGGTCGTTGTAGACGTCCAACCAAGTAGGTGGCGCTCCCGGCTTCCTTGGGACGCCTGGGGAGGGTGTGGACAGAAAGCGAGCAATCCGTGAGGCCGTCCAGGACGTGTTCTCCAGACGCAAGTTGACCAGTACTGCGACCTCTGGCCGCCTCAACAAATCCTGTCACACACACAGACACGAAAAAAAAAAAAAGGATTTTCAGCACCAAATGCATCATTACACACTCATCCCTCCAGTAGAGAGACAGCAGCTGGTGAATCAGACCTGCAGCAGCTGAATCTCCACACTGCTCTCCATGTAATTCTTGATTTGTGGTCCCACTTCCATCCAGGCTTCATTCAGCTCCTGGAGGATCAGCAGGTCCTCGAACGTCTTGTTCACCTTCAGCAGACACAACTTGTAGTTAGTCATCTTACAACAAGTACAACTGCAGAATACGCTTTCAATCCAAAAATCATTAAAGATTTAAAACAACTGGTTCTACGACATTGCAGTTACATGGTGTCCAGCAGAGCCACCAGGACATCCCAGAAGAACATTTTAAATTTTCTTAAAATTACAGTTTGACACAATGCATTTTGTTGCTCAGTTACACTCTAAACTGTGTACTACCAATGCACACTAAAATTGTGAGGCCTTATAAATCATTAACTAAGATGCTGACCTGCAAGTAGTGATACTCATTGGTTTCCGGAAAGAAATGCTTAAATGGTAATGTAAATGCATGGTTTGATTACATAAAGTGACAGCACAGAAACATGTCTTCCACTTTAGTAGTTTCTGTCAAAGCTAAGTATTACAATTTTCAGCAAACAACAGGAGGACTTGTTAGTGACATCTGACATAAACCCATTAGTTATGTTCTTAATAATCCTTCTTAAAAAGATATTGATGATAACTTGTCCTTAATGAAAAAAAGTGAACTTTGATTACATGTTCACTTTAAATAGCAGCTCAGGTGACAACTCTTGGACAGACACTCAGGTTAGACTCTCTGTACCTCCTTCATCACTTGTTGCACTGCAGGAGTGTCTGGTGTGTACAGCAGTTTTCCAATAAACAGAGGTTTTATTCCTCGCCACACAATGCGAGACAGAGGATTGGACTCCAGACCTTGGATCAAACTCTTACAAAATGGAGCTGCGTGGAGGAAACGTTAGACAAACACATGTTAGTGTTAACAAATGTTAGACAAAAACACCTGGTTAAATGTGCACACACAGAACACTCAGTTAGAACTTGATGCTCAGTCATGTTATGGTGATTTTTGGTGTTGTTAAAGTATTAGATAATGAGAAATTCGGTTTTCTGCTTATTTATGATCATTTGTAACGTGTAAATCAACTGAAAACAGGAGCACATGCTAGGTTTCAGTGTTTTAAAGCAAATAATGAAGTTAAGCTGTCACACAGGAAGTCATTCACTCATCTATCAGTACACGTTTCATCTGTCCTGGATGAAAACAAACTAATTTCACACACACACACACACACACACACACACACACACACACACGGACGTCCAAAGCCTCTTACTAGTGATGTTGTCACGTTCCAGGTTTGTGTCTTCAGTGCCATTTTTTCCTAAGAAGGACTTGATGTCATTGTCTTCATACCAGTTGAGCGATGGGATGCGCTCACCACCAACCTCAGGGTGACCGCACATGATCCGTGAAAAAGCGCGAAAACTCTCTCTGGGCAGCGCCGAGCGATTCTCGGGAGACAGAAGACGAAGAGCTGCGCTCATCTCCGCAAAGCTGGAGAGAGACGAGAACTGAAGGAAGACAGAAGTGAGAGTGAAAGGTTTGGAGGAAGAGAAGGGAAACACAGAAGTGGGTAGAAATGCAGGCATGGAAAATTTGGTCAATGTTAGTCAATCAAAAAATAAGCGACAAAACGCATAACATATAACCATGATGAAAGTAAAAGCTTAAAGTTCAACTAGCAGCCACTATTTTAAGGTCCATCCATCTATCCATCCATCGTCAACCGCTTATCCTGTGTACAGGGTCGCGGGGGGCTGGAGCCTATCCCAGCTGTCATTGGCCGAAAGGCAGGGTACACCCTGGACAGGTCGCCAGTCCATCGCAGTATTTTATGGTCAGATTTGTTTACTTATTATAATAAATGCAAATGTGCAGAACCTCCAAAAATGTTCTATGCAATCTACAGGGTGTCTTTTGAACAGACAGAAAAAACAGGTGTGTTCTTACATCATCAATGAGGACAGCCAGCTCCTGGGAAACTGTGGTGACAGCCTGACTGATGACCCTGAGGTCTCCAGCGTTAGCCATCAGACGTTCTCTCTGACCGGAGGGACAGACACACAGGTTCACTGATGGTACTTACTGTAGCTCATCAGATATACAAGCAACTCAGCATCACAGAAAACTGTATTCGAATTTAATGAATGTAGCACTGATGAGTGTATTTCTGCAGGTTTCTCTGTCCACTCAATCCTACCGTGAATAATTTGGTAAAGTCAAGCTGAGAGAGGAAAAGGCGTTCGGCCTCCTGCAGGATGTCAGCCGGCTGGTTACACAGCTGAGTTTGAAGATCATTCATGGCTGCTTCTCCTCCGTCCACCTTCAGAAACTGCCCCAGCATGCTTGCATTACACACCAGGTCCTTCAGCTGCATCTGAGCTCCAGCCACAGAAACCTGGATGGGACAAAATTGATGCCCCACGCTAACTTTAGAACAGTGTACGGCTGTGAAACAAATAATAAATAAAACATCTCACTTGTTATTATCATGTGTTGATACCTGTGCTACTTATTTTTTATTCATAAATTTTTATTCATCTTTTAAATGTTTGTTTTTCTGAGAATTTACAGCCAATACTTCACCTGTAAATTGAGACGAGCCTTCAGCAACTGATCCACAGTCACAGGCGAAAGGCTGCTATTAGTCAGGAGGAAGGTGGAGAACGTCTCATTGGCTCTTAGGTATTCTTCAACCGGGAGATCTACAGCAGAAACACAAAGATTTAGTACCACCCTGCACAACAAATAATATACACTGTATTTCAAATCCACACCAGAATAGAATAACCACAACAACCTCATGCAAGTGCACAAGACAAACCAAACAAGGACCCACTCTTAACAAAACTTCTTCACAGTGTTATTAGTGGGCACAAATTTCACAGGTTACTTAAATAGGTAACCATCATTTGGAAAACCTGCCCATTCTGATTCTAGTAATGAGATAAAGCTCATAAAATTATGATGCAGAGAAGTTATTCTTTATTGATCATTCATGACCATGACTATTGGACTAGTTCACTAGCTTACCAAAAGTGCTTGGGGCTTGTATGTTGCTGTCCTAAATAACTGTATTTTTCCCATTACAGTCTTAGGCTTCGTAACATTTCCTCCCCTTTTATCTTTGGGGATTCTTAGTTGACCTGGCTGAAAACCTGTGTAGAAAGAAAAACTTGCAGTTTCACCCAGCTCTAAAGTTGACCAGCTATTTAAATTGTTTCTTCTTCCTGAAAAGCTGTACCACTAAGAAACAGCAATTTGCCTACATATACAAAAAGGACAGTTTTGAGGTTACAAACCCCTACTTTATAATACGTCTTTTACAGTATGGGTCAGGATTTCAGGAGTCTGTTAGGCCATTTAAATTGGATTTTGTTGCACTAAAAACCTCACTGCTTTCATTCATCTAATTGCTTTTCTGGGGTAGTCATGTAAATTAATCTGCCCACAGCAAGCAGAGGCAAAACAGCCACTCTGTGCTGCTCTCACAAAAGCAGTAAATGGCCACATTCAGGCGGTCACTTGACACCCGTTTAAAGCCAATCGTATAGTACATATCAGCTACTGGCTGCTACTGTAACATGTCAGTCCTGCTCAGAAAAGTCTGGGAAGAGTACTGGCTCAAACAAATTAATTAATTCAATGCTTTTATTGTATTTGATGCCAGGGACTGCTATCACTTTCATCTCTTTCTTTGAAAGTATGTTTGTTTTTTATTTAATAAAGAAAGATGGTTGTATAAATTATTCAAAAATCAACATTTGCTTAGCAATCATTTTCATTGGCTTCTTGACATTTGAAGCAAAGAGTTCCTTATGTTGTATTCAGTACTTCATACATTGTGGTCATGTTGTCTTTCTGTACTTTACCACAGGAAGGCCTTATTTATACTGCACTACAACTTTACTGACAGAAGCCAAAGCTCTATTGGGTTTCCCAATATAAATAATTTATTCTGATTCCTGGATTATAAGATCACTACTGGTAGTACAATAAAATCAAATTAACTTTCTAGCTGGTATTTCACACCCAGGGTTTGTAATGACAAATTCTAACAACTATTTGTCATCTGAATAAGGTGCTGGGAGAAAGTGTCACTGTGTCAGAATGTCAAGGTATCCCCTCAGGTCTGTAGAGCAGATTCAAACAAGCTGTAGTACTTAGTCTCTCTCCCAGCCTTTGGACACTGTCCATCAGGTCCTGAAAGCCAGAGAAGCTCCGGTTTCCACTATAGGACAGAACAGTCTGGGCGTCCACGAAGAGACGAGACAGTCTGCAGGAGGAGGACAATAAGAGGAGTTTTTACTGGGACAGACACATGCAGTTAGGTTACATTTGACAGTGGTGTAACAGACTTTTTAGTTGACCAACCAAATGAATGATTTTTTTTGTGATGCCAGTTTTGTTTAGTTTTAACAGTTAGCACCTAATAGTTGTCCAATGTGCTCCAGCCACTGTGGATTAAGAGACGCGCTAGTGACAGACGCTCCTCGTAAGCGTGCCCACCTCACATGCCTGATATTGCAAGTTAGAGTACGGACTGTGTAGTACAACCTTGGGGCTGGTTACACACCCTCTCTGTGTTCCAGGACCTCCTGATTTACAAATTAAGCACCGTGCCCAGCTGACCCAGAGTTCAACTTGGGCTAACTGAAGAAATGTAAATTCTGCCGTTTCTTGCAGGAAACAGATGTTTCTGTTGAGCAGATGTGGGAGTTTCACAGAAGCAACAGAAAGCACCAAAGACAGTCTCCGTTGTCAATTTCTGTCACCACGCAATATGTAACATATACGCAGTTCATCCACTGATCACAGGGTTGGCAGTTTGATCCACAATTCCTCTTGTCTACATGTCGAAGGGTACTTGGGCAAGACACTGAACCTTAAATTCCTGTCAATGGTTGGCTAGCACCTAGCATGGTAGATTGCTGCCATTGGTGTGAGTGAGTGAATGAGAAGCAAATTGTAAATTGGATAGAAATGTTATATAAATACAGCCATTTTCCATTTACATAAAGGATGTGTTAGTGTGCTGCTACTAAGCTAAAACATGCTAGAGCACAGGTATGATTTTTCCAGGTAGTGACTTCCTCCACTGAAAAATTATACCATCTTACTCAAAGGATATGTATTATTTGTCTCGTCTGTTAGTTAGCAAACAATAGTTCACTGGAGTGGGTCTTTAATCACAGCTGAATGAACCCCTTATTACAAGTTTATCTTCTGGGCTACTTTATCCTGCAAGCAATGATGGTAAACCACCACTCCAGACAGCTGCCCATGCTTTTACCTCCAGTCTACCTACATGGAGTTGTCAAAGTTGCCAACTTGGCCCCGTGTCTCCCCTGGTGTCGAACTGTGGAAGCAGGGGTTGTTGATGTTGCAGATAATGCCCTGAATCCAGGGCAAGGTGCCTGCTGATGGCAAGGCTTTGTTTGGAAAGTGACCTACAAGAAATAGAAAAGAAAAGTACAGTTCAGTACCAGGAGATTAGTCCAAGGTACGAAACAATGAAAATACTGTGGTAGTGACCTGAAATACAATCTACAGGCAGCAGACTTGGACCATAATGCCAAACTGCTGTTATTTGAACAAAAGCTGTTTTTTGTACCACTGATATTAAATTACAATGTTATTATCCTCAGCCTGATCTGAGGTTCCTTAACATACAACACTGATGTAAAGAAGATAAAATAAAGCTCTCAGGTAAGAAATGTCTGGGAAATTTTCAGGCTCACGCAGCAAAACTGACTCACCAGGTGTTACACAACTTCTGAATGCTTAGTGTCCACCACATTACTTGGAATACAACCAATTCACAAAAAAGCAATTCTTTATATAAAGCGTCAACATTCCTTTCCCAGTTCGCTACTGTCTTTGGAGAGGTTACAATTTCTTAGCAAGATATAGCATTATGTAGCCCAGAAGCTACTGTACAAGGCACTGACCAACTGGCCTACGTTGTGCTGTCTCTTGCCATGATGTGTTTTATTATGTTACCATGTCATGTTAGTCACCTTTGCTAACGCAGTACTTCTCCAAGAAGGTCAAGAACACAGCAGGTTAGAAAAAAACAAATGTGCGTGCGTCCCACAAGAATCACCCTCAGTGAGTTAATCCTCTTTAGCTGGTTGGCACAAAGCCTTTCTTCTGACCTGTAAGGGTGCGTGTCTGAAAAGATATCACTCACATTGGCTCTGCTTGTACGGAGGGTGTGAATGACGAACAGAGATGAGGATGACGAAGAGGAAGAGCGGCCAGAGGAGCTCGATGATGAGCTGGATCTGTATAAAAAGACAATGTGGGAGCTGTTACATGTGCATCAAATAATTTGCCCATTTGATGTCCCGGCTGTGTCTTATATTACATTTTTCTGTGAAGAGAAAATGTGACTACCTTGTTCCTCCTGCGATATGTGATGTTCTTCCAGAGCAGGAGGAAGAGCGGCCTGAAATACCCCATCGCTCCCAACAGCTACCTGGCCATGACGCAAAGCTAGAAAACACAATATGCTGGTGAGAAAAGACAAAAGTTCAACAGGGTGTTCTAGTTGTCAAGTTGCGGTGTCCCCACTTTAATTACGGCTGGGGACAGTGGAGCTTAATCCTCAGCAGCACTCCTTTTATTTTAACTTTTATATTTCGTGCTCAGGCTGGTTGTATATTAATTGTGAGTGAAGGTTGTCTTGTGCGCCTGCTGTGATCTGCTCAAGATGGACAATCCCCTGCTTTATCCCGAAATCCTCCTGATCCTAACAGCTTACCTGTTTTACTCAGAGACTTCACTTTTGCTCTGTGAATGCCTCCTGCATATAGTCTCCTCTTGTGTTTGTGCTTGTGGTAAATAATCTGAAGATCTGGCTCACGATTTGTGCCAGGTTAGAAGGTAATGGCCTGGCTAAGTTCCTTTGCAAATCTGTGTAACCTCAAGGTCAAACTATTTTTTGTTGTTGCATTCATCTGTTTACATTTCAAGACTTTGCAGACGTCAGTAGAGATAAAGCATATGGGTTGTATAACCACTGTATTTTCTTCTTTTCTCTTTTGACCATGTAATTTCCTTAAATGTATACCTCTTATGGAGGCACCCGACAGGAAAACTATTATTGAAATGTGATAAATTTGTCGCTTAATGTGGCAAGTTAATGTAAATGTGCATCTTAAAAAAATGACATGGCGCTAATATAAAATTAAAAACTAACACAAACTAACATTAAACCATAACTTAGCACTAAGTGTTAGAACAAAATGAATGCATTTCAATTGGGGCGCAAGTTATTTAAAATAAATATAAAATAAAAACTGAAATCGCCACTTCTCAGTTTGACTCTCGTGCATCATCAGTAATGGCTAAAGAAAATAATTGGCTAACTGTAAGCTAAGAATGAAAAGAGGAAAACTCCTAGCTAACATTACATTCGTACTATAGCTTCCTCTTCCTAGCATGTTACATAGTGATGCTGTTAGTGGTTTAAAATGACCTTTTCGAAAACAATTCACAAACAGTAATGAGCTTCCAAGACTCGTAAAGGTGTTGTTAATGATTACCTTTCTGTAATGTGGTTGATAAATCTCCTTTCAGTGTATCGGACACACCAACGGCCCCGGGTACCTTGTCATTGACTCTCCATTTCCAGTTTGTAATAGCAGGTGTGAGCTGAAGAAACTTCCGCCCACAAGCAACGCTGATTGGCCAAAGTATATTCCAGGGGTGTGGTCACAGAAGCCGGTAAAGAATCTGATTGGCTTTTGCCTGTGTTTTGGTAACTGAAGACATCTGATTGGCCAGGCAGTGACAACTGCGTTATATACAAGCTGGCCACCTTTCATAATAACTGTTTGGAATAATATTTACATAAATAAAAGGCATTACTTTATTAGTACATGCAGCATATGATTCCATTGTATACTTATTAAAATAGCAGTAAAGATATTCATTAATAACACACATTTGCAATTACATTTTCTGAGAAGAACTGTACTATTATAAATTTGAAATAAGTATTCTTCAATTATATATATTGCAATGACAACATATTTATGGAGCTGTTCAAATCTAAATATACAGTAGCTGTGACTCAGATGTACATAAGCATGTAATTTGTTTTGAAAAATGTAATTTGTTACTGTATCTAACTTCAGTCCAAGTCCTTTGCATCTGAAACCTATTCAGGGACCACTGATTCTCAATAAATAAAATCAATCAGATATCTTACAGATCATTTTAATGAACATCCAAGACAAAAAAGTCTTAAAAATATACAGCATCTCTCTATCAAATAAGGCAGTTACCTTTTATTGTGCATATCTTCTTCCTGTCAGGCACCGTCATAAAAGCACTATATGAGTGAACCAGAGCGCTGCACTAAATAGCCTTCTCTCAAGCGTTGTGACAGACACTTGTTGATATGCATGTGCATGTGTGGGACTGGAAGTACATCACAATGAAAATACAGACACTCTTTGTTCTGATTCAATTAAGGTTTCCCATGCAAGCAAATTCAGTTCAGGCACACTGGCAACACACCAGGCTGGAAGACCCAAAACTCTTGAGTACAGTATACATTCACCACCATGTAAAAGTTAGTGAAGTCAAAAATATTCTGTTTATGAATTATTGCATCTCAGCTACTGCCTGCATTGTTAAATATCAGATAAATATAAATGGAGAGCTACCATCTATCCCTGTCACTTTAAAATATGCTTTCATAATATTCAAATGTACTGTTCATCTTAAAAATATAAAGCTACACTAGTTTGTTGAATTCAGTGGTGGGACAACAGCTTATGATATGCTGTATGATCAATTGCATCATAATATTTTCTGCAATTGGCAAAAGTTCATGTAGCTTGAACACTATTGTCCACTTTTGTCCTTGATGCAACAGGAAGTTCTCAAAGAAAAACCGGCTGCTCCTGTCCTGTCAAGAGTCGATATGTTGAGGCTGGCATGGTCTTCAAGTGAATCTGCCCAGAGAGAAAAATCAAACCTGTGAGAATATGTTAATATGTCCAGTGTAAAATGTAATAATTAATTCATTGGAATACCCATTTCTGTATTGATGACAAAATATAATCCAATTGTGAAAGTAAGCATTTCATCCCTTTCCCACCTCTCCGACAGCATTGGTCAGGATCTGGATGATCTTGTCGTGCGGTGTGGCGACGACACTCTGCCCGTTGATTTCAATTATGCGGTGCCCAACACGGATGCCTCCTCTCTCCGCTATACCACCCCGCATCAGGCTGCAGATCTGCAACAAAAAGAGAGAAAGAATTTTTACATTTCAAAACAAAGATGTATGGGAAGTAGTTGAAAAGCACCAGAAAAAGCTAGGAAGTGGACCCTGAGTTAAGATTATTATATCAAAGAAGAAAACCTCCTATAGTGACAAACAATTATTATTATTGACTTACAATGCCGTCCTCCACACTGAAGCCCAGCTGAAACTTGGGATCTGGCCTCCTGATTATTGCCATGGTGACAGGCGGGCAGTGGACGATGCTGAGCTTCACATACTTTTGGCTTTTTAAGTCCTGAGATAGAAACAAAATGTGAATAAGAACACGAAGATTACAGCAGTTATGTATCGTCAGTGTTCAGTGGCTTTTACCCTTCTCTTTCATATTTTCTTAAATGTTCCTGTCTGACCACGTCCAAATAGAACCACTTCAGTAATCTTAACTGTAAATATTTTCTTTGATAATGTCTTTATTTATGTAACTGACTTATTATATTTGTTTGCTGTTAGTTTTATCCTAGTGATGTGTGCTGCATTACTTCCTGAAAAGTCTGCAAACACTTGTGTTCAGCCTGGTATAGTCTGATAAACATTTATGGTCATTACCCTCTGAATATGAAATCTTTAATATTGCTATATGCAATGCAATAACACGATTAACTAAGGCCTTACAAATTACCATAAAGGCGATTGAGACAATCTCAAAACGCTAAACAATATACACTTCACAATAAAAGAATTCAGTGCAGTGCAGTTGTGTTGATGGCATTGTACAAGTGATCATGATATTAACCACAATGTAAACTTTAAGTTGTCAAGTTTTAATATCAGTGCCAAACACTAGTTTTACACAACTGGATAAATACTGAAATTGTCTCTTTAAACCCCAATTAACATCTGAATCAACTATCAAAGCAGTCCTTGTATTAGTACAATCACAGTGTTTGGAAACACAGTGCCATCTTGTGGAAGGCAAGATCTACAGTGTTAACATTTTAGGTGTTAAATCTGAAGCCCCATCAACAAATTCTGATATTCAAGCATAACAAGATTAGATTAGTAGACTTTCTTGTTCCCAGAGGGAAATTCTTTTTCACAGCACTATACATCACCAATCGACATTATCCTCCCCACATATCATTTCCCAACAAATGTACACCACAAATAACCACAACAACAACAACAAAAGACAGCGTGTCCTCATCGAGACTCCTTGTTCAGGGCTGCTATGGCTGAAACACACTTGATTCATTGTTTATATATATTTGTATTGTTATTAAAATCACTACCTAAGTTAGTTCCTATTCTTACCCGGATGATGTTCTGGCAGGTGGTTATGGGCAGACCCACCAGGCTGGTGCTGTTGACGGACATGATTCGGTCACCGATGCTGAGCTCACCGCAGCGCTCCGCAGGACCACCGTGAAGGAGATTTGTCACCACCACTGTGGGCAGAATGGAGCCCCATCCTGACTCCACCACCGCCAGACCCAAGATCTCCCCAGGAGCCTTGGTGATCACAACCTAAAACACAGACACGCAGCAAAGAAAATTTGGTTAGCCAGTTATTATTATACCTACAATTGCCCTCATATGAAAGTTGTCACTTGTTTTCATTTGTGCTTTTGAAGTAGGCGTCATATTTTGGGCAGACATTGCAGATGCAGAATGTATAATCTGACCTTTAACCATGCTAGTCACTACCAAGGGAAGGAGAATGTAGATACCCAGCTGCTGACCAGCATATTTATCTCTGCAGTGGTAACGGAAGAAGGGCACTCATTTTCCACTTATGTACAACACTTGTGGGCAGTCACACTTGCCTCAGTTAAGCTCATGTCTTTTTTCTTTACTTTCTTGTGTACGTTTTATAGCTGTTTATCTATTAATGGGGCTATGAACTTAGGAAGCAAAATAAGCAAAATATGAACAGGTCTTTTTTTTGCCTTTATTCAAAGGTGGATAGCAGAGAGGCAACAGGGAATAAGGGGAGACAGAGAAGGTGAATGAAGTAAAACAAAGGTCCCTGGCTGGAATTGAACCAGGGCACTGAGACACTTTATAGTCTATGGAGGAGGGAATGTTTGATACTTTAAAATATAAAGATGGCAGTACCATCAACCTCAGAATAGATAACAGATGAGAAATGAGATTAGGTGAGATGAAATGAAGATGTGCGACAACTGGGGCAGGAACTTCAAATTCAATACCAAATACTCTTCTTGCCTAGAGGCCTAGTGAGCTAGTGAGCTGAACTTCTGGCCCACACCTGGAGTAACCTCTGTTCCATGTCATGTTTTTAAAAATATTTCTAATGTCTCTTAGAAACATTTTGTAAAAGCTAAAATATGATATTGCGTAACATCTAAAGTTAAATTACTATCTTATCTTAATGACATTTATTAATGGCCACCTTCTGCAGCAAAGGATTAAAAAACCAAAAGCTATGTATGAATCACATACAAATTACAGAACATCTGTAGTTTGTGTTAACATGTAGCCATAATCGCTCTGCTTACTTCTCTGAGGTTCTGAGAGTCTGAAAAGTGGGCCAGGTCTCCGTTGTAGAGCTCCTGACTTTCCAGGTAGTCACTGTACTCGCCAGGCCTCAGATCGCTGGCCTTGATGCCATTGGCCTGAAGGAACTGCTGGTAGGCGACTCCAAACGCCTGACCTATAGCCTGGGCTATGATCTGAGCCTGGATGGAGAGAGAGGGTGGAAGAGATGAAACTGTCTCAGGTTTCAGCATTGTTGTCACGCTCATGTCTATGGGGAGACTTTGCATCTGAATGGTAAGGGCATTTGTTAAATAAATATTCTTCCAACATTATTTTACTCTCCATTTCAATATGAACAAATGAAAGCTAATTACTTAATTTGCAAAACACAAAATAGTACACCTAAACCATATGTCACAGCCTGAAATTAAAACAACAATAAAAAAGGTAATCTATTTTTTCTTTTTTCCTTTTTACTGTCTCCACCCAAACTTTTCATATAAAAAGTAGACACAGTGGCCTCATGGCCTTCAGTATCCCACAGCTAATTAGTTTCTAAAAAGAAACTCTTCCTCCTATTCAGTCTTGCCAACAGCGGGAAACTGGGACGACAGCCAGACCATTTTTACATTCAGGAGAAGTCGCTGGCTGTCTGGGGAAAGGAAACCAGGCCAAGCTGAAGCTGAAACTGTTGTTCACCCGAAAACAGCAAATTTGATCTGAGATGCAACACTGAGGGGAGCAAAAGACACCTTAATACCTTATTGAATTGTCAAGGCTTTAGATGAATTGAAAGATGATGTTGTGGCCATTTTGAAGATCATAAAAAGCCAACTGCAAAATTGTGCAATATGAGCTCATAAGGGAAACAGATACATATTATAAAAAAAAGAAATGTCATGCTGGTAAAAGACCCTTCAATCGACTAACTCACATCGTCAGAGGAGAAGACATGGCAGATCATTAAGCACTTCTTCTGAGGCCCGGAGGAGGATGAAGAAGAAGACTTAGAGGCTGGGTCACTATCCTGCTCTTTACGTTTCCTTCGTGCCATCAGGACCACAATGTCACCAATGTCTGCAATGTAAGAGATCATCTGCAGAGCGTGATCCATCATGGCTTCCTGATTGGAAACGAGACATGAGGGTGTTCAATATATTAGAATCAGAGAGAAGGCAGGAAGGTCTGGTTTGCACTTCAACTTGCAGTGACTTGAAACTTATGTAATCCATAGAACAAAGAACACTTTTACTGCACCACCTTTATTTTTGTTAGTGAAGTTTTGATTGCCTGGTTGTCTCCTTTCAAAACTCTCACTGGTGAAGCATTCAAGAACACTTTCATTTCCCAAAAACGATAATCAGCTGCCAAAAAAGCACTGAATTAATGAGCTACATTCAGAAGCCAAATATGAACTTTGTACAAAGGATTACGCAAAATCTTGTATTAGAAATGTTGCTGCTGAGCAGCCGTTATATCTCATCTATTAAATCTGAGAAGCTGAAGTGTCCTTTAATGCAACAACAGGGAGAATATAAAAGGCAACTTCCCCTTCACATACAAGTTATACAATAAAAAGTCGATATAAAAAAGATGTTAGTATGAGATGCAAAAAAAATATAAATTAAAACTACTCAAATTGTCAAGAATAGTGTATAGGATTTTTTCAAAGCCGCATTGCTACAGTACGTGTGGTATAACTAGGAGCAACCAGCCATACAAAGAAGGAGCTGACAGCAGATGACCCACTTTGACTCTCCTAACAATTCAATCACCCAGCAGAGGAAAACACACTCTACTGTAACTGCAACATTACTGCAGAGCTTTCATATTATTTCACCACTCAATTCCATATTAAGGATTCTTTCTGCAAGTGATGAGCTTGAAGGTGAAAATTTAGAATCAGATGACATTTCAGGCATTTAACTTAATTCTCATTAGTCAACTTTGTTGACGAACAAACATCCTGAAATCCACTGGAATTCCACTAATACCCATCATCATCAGCATTTAATGAAAAACTACCAATTTTAAGTTTAAGTTATTACCACTTTAGAAAAGTGGTAGCAAAGCCATACTAGTGACACTACTAATAATACTGAAAACATTTTCTAAATGAGAGTAAATGCAAAAAGAAGCGTGGTCAAAACATTGAATGAAAGGAAAAGAAATTCAAAACTAGGGGGTAAAAACATTCACAGGACTTTTTCTGAACGGTTGGAAGAACACACCTGTTTGTCAGCACTGAGCACTTTGATTCGTTGGGTGGAGATGAACAGATCCACCTCTGTCATTGGTTGGGACTCTCCCTCTGGAGCCTGAAAGAAACACAGTTGCACTGATGTCATATGTGCATCCCTTTGCAGATGACAACATCCCAACACAGCTAAAGCCATGAGAGAAGAATTTGGATTTCAAAACTGGTATTTTCAGTATGAAAACGATACCGCACAAAAGCACTATGAAGAAATGTGGGAGTGCATCTTCTGTTTGGGTTCACCTTAATGCGGTCCACAGCCTCCTGAGCCTGGGTCATTCGGGCGTTTGTAGATGGGTTCTTCTCTGATTTGATCTGAGTGGAGCCCAGGTACTTGGCACCAAATACCACACCATCCAACAGATCTTCAGGGTCACACGGACCAGGCACTTAAGAGGAAAACACGTTAACATGGTCAATGACTTGGCCTCATTTCTTTATGTTGTTGACTGATTAATGTTGTAAAATTTGCCACAGAAAAAAGCTAAATTTCTGTGAGAGAAAAGAAGTGTGCTTACCATCTTTATATGAAGGATGATAGGCACTCTGCAATGACAGCAAAAAGAGAAATCAACTGTTAAGGCTGAATTAAACATGGTACAAAAACAAAATAAAAACAGCATTCACAGAGTAGTTGATCAAGAGAAATTTAAAAGATTATAAATGTCATAATTGATCCTTGCAGTTTGAACCAAACATTTGCATCACAAACACAGACTCTAAAGCTATTTTGCTTTTCTTTGTTTTACAACATTATTAAATAAATAATGGTTTTGTTTTGGCTGCTTGTCAGACTGAGACAAAACCTTGTGTTCAGGTAACTTGTGACAGTCATTTGCCATTTATTTAATTGATAATTTTTTAGTTAAATGAGTAATGGGTTCTTCTGTATGAAGTATAATGAATATATCAACTCGTCTGGAGTTTATAATCCATTCTCCATCCAGCTGATTGGAGAAATAGTACCTCAACCTACCTGCTCGCTCTCTGCAGCAGCCTGTTCTTCCTCTGGAGGCTCCTCGCCCAGCTTCATCCACACTGGCTCAGGATACTCATCGTCAGGCAGTGAGGTGAGGGAGTCGTCCCTGTGCCGCCCCTGTTGATCATTCCCATTATGCCCCCAGAACCTTTGAGCGTCCTCCTGGCTGTAGGAAACTGACACTACCGCATCCACCTCTCCTCTGTGGTGCATACTGGTGGGGTGGGGTGCAGCGCTGATCTCTGTGAACTGCAGCAGCCCCATCAGGTCTCTCTGGTAGCTTTCAGAGAACAGCAGACCTGTGGTTTCATTACTGTTGTCTGTCATTCGGGAGGGAGTGCACGTTTCCAGTTTAGTCAGGCTGGAGTGCTGATGCTGGGCAAGGGGAGGTGGTGTCTGGCAGCTGGGATGAGGTCCCATCATCTGGAGCTGGCTGAGCAGTGTACGGATGCGGCTGTGGTCTTCGTCACCTGATCTCCTGTTAGCAATCTCAACCACCTCTTCATTGACCCTATTCTCCACATCACTTAAGGTTACCTCCTCCTGGTAATCCCCAACACACTCAAAGTCCTCCACGCTCACCCTTTCTTTTTTCTCAACAGCTTCATCCTGTTGTGCCAGTTCCGCCTCAGTATCCAGGACTGGCTCTGCAATACTTTCCACAAGCTCCTGCTGGTTTACTTTGAGTGGAGGCACAGTGCCGCTCCCGTTCGAAGGTATTAATACTGGCTCACCCGGACTAGCCTTGTCCAGACTGTCAAAACAGGGGGGGAAGCTGGGATCATCCAGGTCATCTGCTGAGCCCGCCTCGCTGGAGGAGTCAGACCTCCAGTCTAATGGAGGAGGCTCGATCAGGCTGTAGCAGTCCAGATCCTCCACCTCTGCACCTGATGGAGCTGCTGGGACAGTGGCATAACACAAAGAGTCTGAGGGCGCAGAGGCTGACTGATCAGAGGGGCAGACATCCGAGTCCATTTTGAAGAAATAAAAAAAAAGCCTGTCAGAGAAAAAGTGGCATTACTGTAGTTGATTTCTGGTTGAGATCGCAAATGCAGCAGTTTTACTGAAGAGGTCATTGGGGACTAGGTTCAATAGGTTTCCAACTACATGAATGGCACTGTCATAAAACATAAAAAAAAGTAATTGATGTAAATGAGAGCTGCTGCACTAACCGAACTGCCAGTATAACAAAAGACTGTATATCAAAATATTGTCTCACATAATGTCTTTAGTGCTAGCAGACACCATCAGTTAAAGACAGTACTATCTTAAGTACAATCATACACCCTTTTGTCCATGACAAGATAGAGCAGGCAGCCTAAAGCTCAGAGTATAAGGACAACTAGTACAATATGTTCAATAGGTTTCCAACTACATGAATAGCACTGTCATAAAACATAAAAAAAAGTAATTGATGTAAATGAGAGCTGCTGCACTAACCGAACTGCCAGTATAACAAAAGACTGTATATCAAAATATTGTCTCACATAATGTCTTTAGTGCTAGCAGACACCATCAGTTAAAGACAGTACTATCTTAAGTACAATCATACACCCTTTTGTCCATGACAAGATAGAGCAGGCAGCCTAAAGCTCAGAGTATAAGGACAACTAGTACAATATGTAGCCATCAAATAGACCCCCAGAGAATACAACACTTCACTTTCCTATGAAATAGATTTTTTATACAAGTCATTCTGTTGCCATTAGTGTACCCTGAAATAAACTGCCTGGAGAGCTGTTTGGGAATTAGGTTCCCTTTATGCAAGGTAGAGCACACCAAACTTCATTCAAAAAATCTGCACTTTTACAAAGCACCTCATAATAGATAAATGTAGTAGTCCCTCTGAACGACACTGATATAATTTTTACAAATCAGGCAGGTCTTCTGGTAAATTCGGCATATAAATTATCCACAAGGCAGCACAAAATCTGGTTCAAACACCGCTAACTTGCAAGGACGCAGTGATTTTTTTAACGTTATTGTAGACAAGAAAATTTCAACTTAGGGGATGTAAGTTGGCGTTAACGGTTTAAAGAGTCACCCGTCACTCAGAAAAGGGTCGTATAACGTTATGCAACTATGCTTTGAAATAAAAGCTGAACTTTGAATAGACACAATGATACTTAAATGTGTTATTTTTCTCACAGATCTCACTCAAAACAAAACACAGTGGGAGAAGTGATGAGGGCTGGCAGTGAGCTTTAAAAATAACGGTAACGTTAGCTGTCCCTCCCATATGATTAAGATTACAATTTTTTACACTGCGAGTCCAATAACGTTAACGTTACAGCTCAGTTTAGCTAACTTAAGTTAGCTGATAAAGTAGCTCAATGCTAACTATTTAGCTAATTACAAATCGCAGCACCACAAGAGGAGCTCATTTACATAAGATGCCATTTCTACGTTAAAACACAGTATGTTAAGCAGCGAAAAGAGCAGCTCCCACCTGATATTTTAGGTCTTTCTTGGTTTCTTTGTGCCCAGAGACTCCTGTGGGTGCCACGACACATAAATTGACGTGGTGTGGGATTTGAGACTTTTCCAAAACAGTGGCTTTGTTTTAGTAGTCATACTAACAACAGCAGAAATATAATAATGTCACATAATCCAAAGTTTTAAAAAAGTCATGAAACAGAGATTTCCTGTCATTACTGTTGCTGATAGCTTTTATTTATTAAACTGGCTGACTCGGTACTTGAGCTGCATTCACGTCCTCTTGTATCTTCAGTCTGTTGGTTGTTCTTCTTATTCTGCCTGCTACATGTCAACGGTCTATCCACGACTTCATCCAAAATTCTACTTAATACACTTTCCCAAATCACAAGCTACGTAGAACCCTCGTATTTGATCGTCTTGTAACGTTTTTGTAAATGTTGAATTTAACCATCCGTTTTATAATTTGAGCTCAGGAGAATCTCTCAATTACGACCCGTACGTCAGCACTTGAAGGCAACAGTCACAAACGTCATGTCGAACCTTCCAGACCTCATCAATCAAACGTGAATAAAACGATCAGAGAGGACAGACGCTTTATTTTATTAAAAACTTAATTAATTTACATCATCTGAAATAAATTTACATATAATTAAATGTACATTTCAAGCAGATTATGTCCTATTTGACCAGCAACACTGTTTCCATATAAAATCGTCATCAGTGTTGTCTGCGGAATGTTTTCTACTGATTCTTCAGAGCAAAAATCTGATTTTTGCTCACCAGTTTCACACAGTTTCAACGCATGAGAAACTAACTAGTGAAATCAGTTGCTGTAGTGATGCTGGACATAATATTTTAACAAACAGTTTATGAATAACTGTAGGCCTATATGAAAAAAAAATGCATGATTAAAAATCAGGTGTATGTAAGGCAAATTTACCAGCCTTCTCACAGTGTATTTCTCTCAAAATCACCAAACATCATTAATTTCTAAACACAACCAATATCATCCCTGTTTTAGCTACTTGAGCATTGACTGAACAGGTAGAGGAATAGTGGCCCTTTGCGGATTCTCTACGCTTGAACCTACTGTTAAAGTGGTTGTTGCAAGAATCTCCCAGGTACAGGATAAAGTCTCAGATCACTTTGCATACTGACAAACAAGGATGTACAGTCTAAGCAATGTTGTATTCCTCAGGCAAAAGAGTTTTCGTCCCAGCCAAAGCTGTTATTGGTGCAAACTTGGCTACACTAAAACTGTCTCAGAAAACCCTTCTTAAACCCTTCACATGCCATGTAAATACTTTTATCTGCATCCAATGACACTCAAATTTTAAATACATTTCACATTCTTTCGTGTGATTATGATGCTGCAGCAGTTAGCAAAAATAAAGAACATTTCATTGATTGATCTCTTCATCAAATCTTGCCTCCCACTGTGAATTATGTTCAAATATGCTTTTTCATTCCAAGGGAATTGAAGATGTTTGGCCACTTTTTCAAGACAGTCAGTCATTTCTGATTAAGCACTTGGATGATTGGCTAGAAGTCTGCTACATTTTCCTCATTAAAAAACTGAAATCAACGGCCACAGACAGTCTGACTGAAGTCTGATCACATTAAAGATCTGCTACGCATCCTCTCACTCAGCAGTTTCCATCAATACCCAAGATTCAGTCTGTTATCTGATCTATTCCTCACTGTGAGGTGAAGACTATGTACTGTCTGTCCGGTCACTGTCGCCGGCGCTCATCTGGATCAAACCAATCACAGATGAGATGGTGCCCATCAGCCCCACCAGCCAGTTGGGGAACCATCCCGCCCACAGGAAGCCGGGCGGCATCCAATGAATGGCATTACTGAGGTCAGCCGTGCTGCCGAGGACAGAGAGTACCTCCCCTCGCATCTGTCTGCGGAGCTGAGAGCGACTGCAGAAGAAAAACACACTGGTTTTATGAAGACATAATGGTGGTTTGAATCGGTGACAGAACAATGTCTCTCAGTGGGAGAACCCTTTCTATAGAAACTGCAAAGAGTGAAAACCGTGGATACAACACCTGTTGCCACCTCCATCCCTCTCACATCTCTTCAGCTTGTTCTTCAGGAGCAGCAGAACTCGGAGTGACCTAACGAGCAAAACATTCACATGACACTTCAACTCAGATGTAATGTTTCATAGCCATTTATTCCATATTATACATATATACACACAAGTAAGCACATGACTAAGTTAATGCGCAATCTTACAAAGTGCTTCACAAGCTATTCTGTTAACTTGTTAACGTGATTAGCATTTGATTTACTTAAACTAAAAATGAGGCTGGGGTAATATAATATTTTTCTTACTGTCTTCAAATCCCATGACAAGACCTAAACCAACAACGTGTTAGGCTGTCTTTTATTACTCCTGAGTTACTCCTGTTGATTAACACCAAAGCCCATTGTTTCCTACGAAAGATGTTTATTTTAAAAGAGGTTTCACATTCATAGTTTCATCTTTAAAAAAAGACTCAGTAATCTCCTAAAACAACTGCAAACTGTAGTTTACAAACAAACGTTACTCCAGGAGTAATTAGTGTTGGGGGTTATTTTCAGCAGTGGATCAATACACATTTCAGTTCACACCCTAAGCACTACCGAAAGTGCCCTTGGTCCTAAACCCCTAACTGCTCCAGAGGTGCTGTACAGTAGCTGCCCACCACTCCTAATTAGGACAAATTCCACATGTGTTGTACTGTGTATAATTGTATCAGACCAATAAAGTTGATTTACAAATTACAAATTTGGTGCTGTAGTAAGCGTGCAGCAGGACAGCCCTAGTCTGTCCCATCAATGTGTTTTTTAATTAATAGATTTTTTGGCAACAATAAGCTCTGTGGCACAGAGGAATTAGATATATCAGACACACAGGAAATACCATGTCTAGCCTTATCCTTACATTCAGTTTAGTAAATAACATTTGAATCATCCAATATCTGATATTTGTTATTCCAACAATCCATTTATTTCATTTCAGTGTATCCAGTCAGATTTGATTCGATGTTTGTGGACAGACAATCTCAGACCTGAGTATTCCCAGCAGCAGCGAGGTTCCCCACAGCATCGTGCTGAACAGCCACCACTTATCAGACTTCACTTTGATGAGCTCAGCATCAGCAGCCCATGCGATGTGTTCACAGGGGTAGTACAGCTGGTCAGCCACGTTGGTCAGCACCGATATCCAGCGCACGCCTGAGTCCTCCTCCTTTGAAAGACGTGCAACACGCATTAATGCTGCACAACACATAGAGAAACTGTGTATTTATGCAACACACCACTCTTGAAGGGTGGAAGAGGATGGAGGAGACTGTTGTTGTGTGGCTCACCCTGGTTCCCATCCCATAGCTGCGGGAGTAGGCCAGCATGGACAGATCATCGAACAGCCTCAGCACCGTCCTGCAGTGGCTGAGCTGAGCAGAAAACAGCAGCAGACTTCCCCCGAGCCGGTGGGATGAGACATCTGTTTCTGCCTTTCGGGAAAGAACTCCTCCAACCAGCTGGGAGCCATAACAGACCGTCCTGATCTGAAAAGACAAACAGAGTAGGAAAATGTTTGTGTTTTTAGGAGACTGGACTGTTTATTATTTGTTTCTATGTTAATAATAACAATAATAACATACAGTATTTATGCCAAACGTTTCTTAAATATTATTCAGCAAAAAACTCATAATTCTACTATACTACACAATTTCCCAGAGCCCAGGGCAGATCAGATTGTTTTTGTCTGACCCAGACTCCAAAACGTAAGCATTTGCCAGGATGCAAGACAAGAACAAACCGTGACAATGTTCGACATTTTTGAACTAAATGATAAATTGTTTATCAAAGTATCAGTATTAATAATATTAATGCTGTATTTCAACATTTCTGTTGTAATATCCAACAGCAAAACGATACATAAATAAAAAAAGAAACTGAAAAAGGCTAATTTTATAGAACATGTATAGTGTTTAGATTTTCCTCTCTCTAATAAGCCACCCAGTATTTAAAGGTGTAATTAATGGCTTTGTCCGGGATTAATACTGGAGGATATGTATTGTGTTCATAGGACTCTTTGTTTTTTTCTTTTTTCATGTCAACTTTCAATGCAGCCGGCAGCTGACACTGAAATAAAGCCATGTCAAAACCACACTTACGCTGAACATTGACCATAAAACCAAAGTTACACAAAAACTAGTGAGCTGTAAGGACAACAGTTAGGTTTTTATTTGCACCCCAGATATGACTTGTTACAGGATTACTTACAACTTTATCTCTCCCTCTGTATGACTCCAGCAGTCGCACCAGAGACTCCACAGCCTGCTGCATGACTGTCTGCTGCTCAAACACTCACTCACAACGGTGGACAATCAATTCACACGGACACACGAAGCTCCAGCATAAACATCTCCACCTAAAACTGTTTAACTGGGCCAGTTTTCAGCAGGACTTTGAAGCAGGAAGTATCCCAAATAAACGATCACCGATTTAATCGAACTTCTTCTTCTTTGTCCTTTGTGCGGACTAGACATAGCGATGGTGTGCTGCTGCCCTCCTCTGTTTGGTTAACATCAATTCTGTTTCAGCCATAGACTGTACATAAAAAAGCTTCAATAATAATGGCTGATGTACTTTATGTATTTCAGTAAATACAGTAAAAGTGTTGCAGAAAAAAATGCAGATTTTCTAAAATATAAACTATACAGATTCCAGTATCTTCAACCAAGTCCAGTTGCCCTTGATTTTAACCTTCATTGGATATACAGATTAAGTTTTTTCTTTTCAAATCAATATTTCATACAAATAAACAGTTTCTCCAGGTTTTAAAAGATCTTTATACACTAATTTTCTCCAGTGTTTTTCTACCAAATTAGGTATTGAGGTTGTGTGAAACTGCCCTACTACATATATAAAATGCCAAACCTAGAGCTTCATTTATTTACATGTGTTTCTCAATTATATAAATATTATATAAAAATATATAAAAATTTTAATTCTGTCCATAGACCCACTACAAACCTAATCTGGAGTTTTCTTTTTTATAACCTAATGCTGATGATACACAGAGCAACTTTTAGAGCAATCGTGCAGGGCAACGTTGCCATCAGTGGTAATGAGTAAAGATTACTTCCGCAATCCCCTTCCCCAGTATTTTAATGCATCTCTGAAATGTTCTAAATATATTTTCACCCTCATATATTGCTGTTTTTCCTGGATCAATACTTCTGCCTCATTTTCAGCATCTGCAAATAGGTATTGTCCATATTCCCCCTCCACTATACTAAACAAAACACTTTCATGAGTTAAGCATTTTGATTAAAAAGATAAAGAAAAGAATAAATGCAAACAGCGACACAATTAACCAAAAAAAGGTTTATTCATTTATTTTACATTATCTCAGATGTCGAGCAATAAACAAAGCTACAGTCATAGTGTATTTATTTTCTATACAAGCAGTTTGACAAACAATGTGATGATGAGAAGTTTGTTATATCAGTACAAGGCATGTACAGTGTGTGTGAGTGTGTATCTTTCTGCATAGTTTTAGTTTTATATCAGCTAGTTTGTTTGTGTCAGCTCCACCTCAGTTGTAACAGGCAGCACAGGCTGTGTTTGAATCCTGTTTCATAGAACACGACTGGTGAAGTCAAATAAAACAAAAATGTGTCTCCAGGTATATAGTTATAGGCTATAGTTTTATTCAGCTTAAGTTTTCAGTTTTGGTATTTGTATATAGTTTGTTTCTTATGACTGTGTGCATCTCTCTCTGTGTGTGCATTCAGTTTGACATGTTTTAATAATCATTGTGTGGAGAGTCGTTGTCGTAGATGTCTGAAATAAAAAAAAGAAGTTCCTTAAAAAAGCTGAGGTAAAAGACAGACAAACACGTTTGTTTTTTAAAGTGAGTATTTAAGATTGCACTGGAAATTACAGTAGCACAGTTTGCATGACGTTTACTACAGAACATGAAGATCCAAAGATAACTCACCACCCGCATAGTCAACATCATCGTAAATGTCTCCTTCCCTGCAAAAGAAGATTGACATTTAACTGATTATTTTTAGTGATGTTTCTGTGTAAAATTTAGACCTAAAACTTGTTAACATTAAGCAAAAAATTATAGCTGTGTTTACTGTAATCGTGCATGAGGATGAAATGGAAAGATGGGTGCATCCAGTACATATAATATGTATATGAACAACTTTGGCAGATCTGGTAATAGCCTATCTGAATGCCGTGTAAAATACAGTCATTGTAGTTGTATAAATTACTAATTTAACATATAATAATATCACAAACAAAACTAAACATGTCTATTAAACAATGAAAGTTGAGCTGGTTCCATAATATTAATACAGATAGCCAATTTATTATTATTTGCTTATAGGATAAAGAGACAAAATTAAGTAATGCTAATGATGGCATTTTTAACTGATGAAGATTCACTTACATTGGAAGAAGAAGAGATCTGGACACATAACCATCTGTGAGAGGTGAGGCATTGGCATTGAATTAGTGAAAACAACAGCTGTTACTGAATGCATTACAAAATCATCTGTATACAATTATCTTGGTGTCATTTATTCATTGAGTAGTTAACGGGGTAACCACAGAAAGGATGAGTAGTAGCACATTCTCTCATGTGTGATATTTCTAGCCATTAGAATTGTTCAAGGAGGCAACGTCGGTCAACCACTTTGGTCCAGACTGAAATATCTCAACAATAATTAGATGAATAGCCATGAAATTTATAACTGATATCCAAGGCCTGTAGGGGATACATATTCATTCATTTGTTTATCCCCTGATATTTCCTTTAGCATCACCAGCAGGTCATCAGTGAAATATCTCAATATCAACTACTGGCACTGCATTTTGTCCAGATTTAATTGTCCATTTTTTATTTTATTGAATGTTGTTTTCAACAACTATTGGATGAAATTTGGTTAGGGTTAGGGCTGGGTTACACACATTTATGTGGAACAAGGATGAGTTGTACTAACTTTGATCCCTTTACTGTTCGTCTAGTGCCATCATCTGGTCAAATTATTCATTGGTTGAATACTTTGATTTCTGACTGAACACCTCCAAAACTAATCCCATACCCATCAGCATCAGGTGTACTTTGTGTTTATGGAGAAGCTTGCACGTCTGTAGTCTTGTTAATCCCACAGCCAGGACAATTATAGCTTTTCTAGTTTCTCTAACTTACGTGTGAAATTTTTGAGGAATCAGTTGTCTTTCTTGTGGACATCGGAGTGTTTAGCGTAAATATGAAAAAGAACTGAGGCTCAAATTCATACAACTGATTGCTCTGGAAACCAGGAATTTAGTAAATCTGTTTTTTTTTTCTCATTGACATTTATCCTGGTTATACAGAAAACTCTCTGAGGTAACCCTTATGTGATCACATCAATCAATTCTTACTCTTTTTCTAAAGCCACCCAACTCCACAAACCATTCATGTATCATGTGCTCTAGATTAAAATAACATGCAATAAAAACAGGATGTGAAGTGTTCATATACATTTTCCAAACTGGTTGCGACACAGAGCTTTCTTGTTGTTGGTGAGCTGGATGACGTCCAGGACTTCTCCCTGACTCACATGCAGATCCTTCCCTCCTGGCTTCTTTATGATGCAATTAGGATCCACCATCATGGTGTGCAGCACCCTTAGAGGCCCATCATACTGGGAAACAACAGTTACTTGTAATTGGTAATTGTCTTAGTCAGGGCACTGTAACATGTTTATGTTATATTGTACACATCAAGTGGAAATTCTCATCATTGTGGGGTGTATGTGGAGTTTCTCTAAGATCAATTATGGGCCCTGTTCTTTTCTATCTATATAAGTTTTCCTTTGAACAAATAATACTGGAACATTCAATAAACATACAATATAAACATTTCCTTTCTGCTGCTGTAGAGATGCAGAGTGTCATCGATGCTGATGACACTCTGCTTTACCTACATTAAAACCAAATAATCCATTGTGAAAGTGTGAAAGCTACTTACCTTAAATCTTTTTCTTAGCTCCTTCACCACTTTCGGATCTATGCTGGAAAGAAAAATGACAATTTAATCAAGAAGCTTACAAATGCATTCATGAATATATTTGTCTGGGTTAGGTTGTTTTTAGGTTAGGCTTTATATATATTACATTATATACTATACTATATAATATATATTATATATACTGATACTGGAACTGCACTGAGTTGTGAATATCTTAGCCTTTCATTTCCTGTTTCCTTTGAGTGAACAGATACCTGATTTCAGGCGGTGGTGGGGGAAAATCCTCAGATATTGGTTGAACGTCATCATAGTCATCTGAAGACAAAACAAGTACAAGAACAGTAAAACTAAAACTAAAAAGATCTTGTCTTCCCGTAAATAGATAAAAAACAGTAGTTATAATATTGTATTATAAAACATTATCTGTTGAAACAGGCAATAATATTTCAAAACATGTATCATTAAAACTGGTGAGAGGAAAAAAACAACCACTAACATGACCCACACTATAAACTAGCCATGTCAAATATCCTACTAGCAAGTGTACACTAGCGTGTACCTGTATAAAATTATTTAATTGAACAATTGATCAAGAACAGACGTTTAAAGATTTTTTAGCTATGATTAGTTGTGTATGCTTATGAATCCCTGTTGTGAATATCTATGAATTATTTGATGCTTTTAACAAAACAAGAAAAAAGAATTAAACCAATTAATCTGGTCTTTATGTTACATAAATAACTATGAGTGTTTTTTCTGCTGAGCAATGAGGAAGTTAAATAAAAACAGTGAGATTTTACCTGGTATTCCTAATCCTAATCTGCCAACAATGTTTATGTGTGGTGTGCTGTCACTTACCATCATCTTCAAGCATGCTGCAGATTAGAGGAAATACAACATGTTAGTCGGAACAGATGTGGGTGAAACTGAGAAAGCAATGCAACCAAACACTTGGGTAAGTTTACTTGTTACAAAGTAGGTTATCACTGATGGCTGGCTAAAATTACTTTAAAACCTACAATACAGCAGGATTAACATGATCAACTGTACCTGTCTCTGTTATTGGACTCCACATGTATCATCTTTGGGAGGTCTGGGGGTAGTGGAGGCAACGGCGATGTGTCCATTTTTCTGGACTGCAGCAGTTTGCGCTTCACAGCCTCATAGTCAATATCCACACATGTATTACTGATGTATCCGTCTGCAAGGTAAAACAACGATACACAATGATGCACTTTGGTTTTATAATGGCAATTCAGCACATTAGTCAACATAGACCCATTTAATGCAAAGAATGATAATCAATATTATCACTGGGCGTTTACATATTGTTGCTCTCAGGTCTTGGTTAACTAGTCATGAAATATGTCACAGCGTATGGTCTTCCACAAGATTTTTTTTGGCTTGAAGGTGTTGGATTTTGATCAACTCGGACTATGTATCGCTATTTTTTTTATCTGAA